TCATCCTTCTGGGCAGTGTTTTTGACGCCAACTCGCTGGGCAAGTGGATTTACGACTGGACCGTATTTCACCACGGCGCGTCGACTCCTATGGCAGATGTCGCGGGCGATCTGTGGTTGTTGTTGATCAAGTTGGCCGGTAAGGTGAAACGGGCAGACGAATGCATTGAGCGCATCAAGCGCCGCGATGCGCGTGAGACGGTTGCGGATTTTCTGGAAAGTGGCGAACGCCTGTGGGTGCGATTCAAGAAGCTGCTGAAGACATGTGAACAGTTCATGTGGAAGGCCGCCAAGCGCGAGGGTGGCAAGACGGTCTCGATGGGCCGCAACGCGGGCTGCGAATTTGTGGAGACGATCTTCGGCCGGGACCGCGAGCTAGAAAGCACGGAGAAGTTGATGAACAGCATTCGGTTATGGAACATGCGCTTTGACGCCAACTGCGAGGAGATTCTTCGCCGACCGACCTCAGCTTAGAACGGATACAACTTCGACTACATCCTATACCGACATAGGAAACCCCAAAAGTAATACTCTGATTTGATTTCGACATAAGCGACGGGATGCATTTTTCGCACCGCAACGGAATACAGGCGCGTGAGCGTTGTCCTTGATTCTTCATTTTTATTCTCATTATCACCGGATTGCATTTGAGCGCGTTTGGTTTGGGCTTGGCTCACTGGATTGCTGCTGCGTGTGATTGATACCTACTGCTCGAATACCCCGCTATCAGCGCGGGAAGCTTTTTCTATTCTTACCTTTCCTTTGTGATACATTTCTTTTATCTTTCTATTGTTATGTTTCCTGGGACGGGGATCTGCTTTCTTGACTGGCGTGCTTGCTCATCGGGAACGTGGACTTGATATACCCTCAGCAGCAGCAGTATACAAGTGGCTTCGCTTCGTTCTGTTCTTTAAGATACCATTCTGCGACACACCAGTTTATCATTCGGTTATCAGCGTCGGACACTGTTGGGATGATTCTTTCCTTATTTCCTTTGTTTGTACTGGCACAGCGTACATACTAGATACACTACTACTACTATCTACCCACTACAACCACGGACCGATAGACCAATATTATACCATTTACACTGCACTTCATACTACGTAGTCTGATTCTGATGATACTTTTACCCCACCACGTAGTGACAACCCAACCAACCAACCAGAACAATCCCGTATCTGCATCCATCTGCACGTCACATGCCCAACACAGTAATACCAGACCTGACCTGATAAGTAACCTAATGGAAGTTGATGTCACTGGACCGTCCGTCGGCCCCATACCTCCGCATCATCCACTAATAACTACCCATCTATCTACTAGTAAATTAGTAGTTAGTAAGTTAAGTAAGTAGTAGGGTATTATGCACGTCGCCCAACCCGCACTCACATACACATACATAACATATGTATGTACATACGTATGTATGCCACATGGCCATGTGGACAACAACAGGGTAGGCAACTGACTGACAAACACCTCAGCAGGCAATCATTACCCCCTTCGGATTGGATTGGATTGAACCAACCAACTAGCCCGCTATCTATCCATCGGAACTAACGGGGAGTTTAAATGTGGACGAATTATTTACAAGGGGTAATGCATTGCGGTGGATTGAACTTGGGTTGAATTATGAGGTGAGGTGGTTTGGGCGTCGTTACGGTGGTTCTTGGAGTTGAGTGCTGTTGGGTTTGTATTTGTATGTGTATGTGTATGTGTTGGTAGATGGTATGATTGATGGGTTGCTTGGCATGCGCGGGTAAGTAATTAAGTTATGTACATGGTAGTAGGAGATGAAGTTGGTACTTATTTTGGTAAAGTAGCGGAAATTATATGTGTTACATACTAGAGGGGGGTATTTAGAGAGTAACTTACTTTGGAGATTTACAGTTGTCCTAGATAGTAGGTACGTAAGACAGTGTGAAATAAAGCATTTATGTACAAGTAGTTGTTTGTATAGAATGAAGAATAGTTATAGTAATGATGATGATGATGACCTCCACTACTCATTACCATAAACTGTAATATATCTATTGATCAATATATCCAGACATTTACTGACCCCGAAAGGGGGTGAAACCGATGGCCGGGGTTACTGTGGCGGTAATCATCCTGGCTGAAACAAAGAAGATAATCCAAAAATAGTAAGCCCTACTCACATCCATAATTAAAATTAGTACTACTTGTTCTGACTCCCGCAGCTATTGTCACACTATCTTAGAGAAGAAGTGACTGGATATACATCTAGTCGTAGAAGGAAAATAATATTGCTGTAGACTATAATTCAGTTTTATGGTTTTCCAGCCTTGAATGGTACTATGGGAACTTTGTGCAGTGTTTTCAGATGTTTCTACTACTAACTTTATATATTTATATATATACGCAGTGACACTAATAGAGTTGTGCCTGTATTCTCGTCATGGAACGTATGTATGTATAGTAACCACCTGAAAATACGAACAGAGGCTCGACCGGACTGTAACAAATTCAATTAGTGAACCCAGGGGGGATGGAGACTATTTGGGGGCAGTTACTAATGTATTAGGTAGTATAAACCAGTATCACCACTTGCTTTAAAGTATGGCGTGAAATACTAAATATATCGGGGATATACGTATTCTACCGGAAAGCTAGAGTTACCAGTGCACAAGGTATAATAGGTAAGCCCGAAATTGATATTAGTATCTATTTGATGATAGTATATAGCGACTGACAAATGAAGGAACAATAAAGTTGAATCTCACGAGACAAAAACAAAGTGAAGAAAACCGAAATGATACAAAACAGGAAAGCCCATATCGCTCATTCGTCATCCTCGAAATCTTCATCGTCACTGTTATCATCCTCACCTTCGTTGTCATTGTCATCATCGTCTTCTCTTTCCTTTCCCCCTTCTCCTTCCCTTTCGCCTTCGCCTTCTCCATCTCGTTCGTTTCTCTCATTGTCCACCCCCTCATTGTCGATTCTCTCATCCTGGGTAGCGTCATCATCGCCAGCAGCGGCTGCACATTGAGCGTGTTGCTCTGGCGCCATTGGCGCCGTCAGAACCTCCGCCTGTATGAGTTGGATCGGAGGTACCGGTACCCAATTCATACCCACAATCGTATCATGGTAGCTGTAGCGGGGTCTTACCACGAGAAGAACCTGAGCACCATGGTGGGACTCAGAGCCAGCATGGAAATGATGGGTTACCATAGTGTCCGAATGGTGATCAAACTTGGCAAGCTCAGGCAGTCGCTCAACCACTAAATTGCCAAAGACTCCAGCTTGACCAGCAATAAATTCTTGAGCCGCAAACTCTAGAATCATGTGGAGTCTGTCATCGCGGAATGTCTGGAGCGACTCGCTCAGCGATTCTTTGAGAAGGAGTCGAAACAGTCGGCACCCCCACAGCTCGTCCACATAGGACTTCACGAGTTCTTTCCGACGTTCATGCATGGTTCGACTGAGTGCTGTGTGTTCGGGAGCACCCAAGAAGAGGTCTTGTACAGTGCTGATGCTCACGAGGGTTGACTTCCACCATGCTGCGTTCGTGGGCAACACTATGTTAAGTCTAAGTGTTAGTGAATTCAAATGATCCCGTGACGAGGGAAAGAGGAGGAACGCGGACTTGAGGAGGACATACTTTCCTTGAACCCCTGGTATATAAAGTCAAGTCTCTTAATGAAGTTGGCATCCCCGGGCTGGTCCGTTGCATCCACCTTGGCATCCATAAACCAAAAGGGGGAGGTGGCAAACTTTTTGTAGATGAACTGATTGAGCATGGTCTCTAGCAAAACTTTTCCAAACACAGAGCGAGCGGCAGGAGGAAGAGAGGAATGAATCTTGTCCCAGTCCTCTTGGACACAGAATCCATCTAGGCTGGCGATAATGGCCTGTTTGTCATCACTGGAGAGATGAAGCATCGAATCTTCTTCACCAAAGCGCCAAGCCCAACTGTGAACCTCCATTTCAATCTTAATGAATCCCTTTTGGAAATCTGCTGGTGAAGACCTCATGTGCGGTCCAGCCATAAAGGCCATGGACCAATAATGTTCAATCATCTCATTATATTCCTGTCTCTGACAGAGGTACTTTGCAGTGGGTAACAAAGCTGGACCCCCTTCGTTCCATATGTCCGGTATAGATCCCTCCTCCGCGTCTAGCATAGCTTCCTTCTCCATGGCCAACTTAGATTCTTCTTCAAAACCCGACCAAGTGCGCTTGAGCCGCTTATGTTGGTTCTGGGGGCTGGTCATAATGACGATGAGTAGCGTGACGAAAGGGCCAAGTAGAATCAGTAATTTTGGTTTGGAGCCTATTCAGGAGATGTTGAGAGGAGGTGTCGCAGAGTTGGGAGAGAGTGTGGATACGGAGGGAGATGATGGGAATTGAGAGAGAGAGAGAGAGAGAGAGGGAGGGAGAAAGAGAGAGGAAAATCGGGCAAGGTAAACGGGGGGATAGATGACCAAAAGTCTATTTCTTCAATCATTCATTCATTCATACATCCGTTCATTCATTCAGTCAGTTCCCTGGCTGCTTATTGGCTCTTAGGGCTACCCGGCTCTTTGTGTGATGTGAGGCATCAACCCATCCGCAAATCTAGCCCGTGTGAGGGTTTCAGCCGCAACAAACCTTCTCGGATGCCATGCAATTGACTGGTAGACCAGTTAAGACAGGGGGAGGGGCCCGTATGTGTGTGAGCGTGACAGAGAGAGACACGGCCAGGTCATGAGATGAACATGCGAACTAGACGCCACTCTGGTGCAGTTCAAAGATAGCATCATACATTGTAATCTAATTGTAGTAGGAGTAGTAGTAACTCTGAGTGGCATATCAACAAACATAAATAGAGCCAACTGGACGCACTTCCCTTTTCATTTTCTCAATCTCATACCAATATCATCATCAAACTCCATTGTATATGTATTCAGCTGGTCTTGAATGCATTTTCTTATTTTTTTTCATTAGCATCATCTCACAAATCTTCAAACACTTTGTCCCCCGCCTCTATCCACCATGGAGCAGAACCAGTACTTCATTTCCGTGGACTTCGGCGCGTATAAAACGGGCAAGTTCCTTGTTCCCTCCTATTACTTATTAAGTCCCTTTTTTTGTCTCTCTGTCTCTCTGTCTTGCTGTCTTGCTGTCTCTCTTTCTCTTTGTTTCTCTGTTTTTTATATCTTTCTATTTTTCTACTAGTTTATCTTTCTATCTTTCTGTTTTTCTGTTTTATCTGTCTCTCTGCCTCTGCCTTATTTTCTATTTCTCTCTCTCTCTCTCTCTCTCTCTCTCTCTCTCTGCTTCTCGCTAACATAAACATACTTTACAGTCCTTACGATCCTGACTACCCTGGGCGTCCTGACGACATGGGCTACTCATGGCGCTAATGACGGTATAATCCTTTCGATCTTCAAATACAACAGCAATGGTCAGATCATGTGGGGAAGGAGTGCCGCGGCATCCCGCGGCAGAGAGCCGTATGTTTGGGTAAAACTCATGCTGGATGGGTCCCCAGACGTGGCCACACAACGCCATAATCTGAGAGACCTCCTCGGCGGCACAGTGGATCTGAACGACATTGGCACCGGAAAAATCATCAGTGACTTTCTTCGAGACTTGCGGGACAGGCTGTGGATGGACCTTAGAGAGCATGGACCACAAATCCACTGGTGTTTCACCGAACCAGATTGCTGGTCAGACCGCGGCCGTCTGGAATTTCGGTCTGCAGTTGAGAGCGTTGGATGGTTTGGGAACAACCATCGCATTACCTATGCCTCTGAAGCTGTAGCTGCGGCTGTATGGGCTGCTGATGAGTACAGGAACGGAAATGACATGCAGGTGAGCAGCAGCAGCCAGCAAGAATCCTTTGGGTGCGTTTGGAATTAACCAGGTCGGATAACTAGGATGGTGACATACTTCTTGTGTGCGACTGCGGCGGCTCCACAATCGTAAGGCTTATCTTGGTCAAAGTCATTTAAGGTACCATCCAGCTGACACTCGATTAGGACACTGCCGTTTTACAAGTAAATGGCAACAATGGAGATCGTCCTTTCACCTTCCAACTCCTGGGAGATCCGACCAGTACGTACCACCGATTTGCCGAAGGCGGAGGCCTGTATATGGGTAGCTAATCCGTCTCAGGCATCCGATGTGGTGGATTTGATGTGGACTTGGAACTGGTGAAGCAACTTCGGACTGCCCACCCGGACCTACCTCACGACTCCAGACAGTGAGTAAGCGCTGCTCAGGCTCGGCAGTGTATCAGCTCTGTGAAAGAACTATTCTCAGGCAGGACCGGGACTGAGGTGCACGCAATTCGGATTGAGCTGCAGGGAAACCGCAAAGTAGAGTATCGTTTCGACCACAATGCCCTGGTCCTTGCCTTCAGGCCGGTTGTGCAAGCCATACTTCGGCAGATACATGCACGAATCACCGCCCCATTAAATGCCAGAATTACGAAGGTGATCCTGGCAGGTGGGCTGGTCAAGTCGGAATACTTACGCCGTGAGGTCGAACAGGATCTTGCACGCGCTTACCCGAATGCCGGACCCAAGTTGCTGGGGGAACTGCAACACAGGTAAGCTGTCTTCACTCGAGACTTCTAGTGATCAATGAACTGCATGATTCTGACTTCTCTGGCAGTGTGCGGGCAGTTTCACGCGGTGCGGCACTGTGTGCGGCCAGGTTGCATGGAGTACAGGGCTTCCACAGCAACACCACCATCCAATTGGTAGTCCCTTCTGTTGCACAGGTTGGAAATGAGCTGCGAGAACAATCCGATGCTTTTGTAGTTATCCGACCAGTAAGTTGTCTAGACTTCCGCACCACCCCCTCCCAAAAACAAAAGAAACAATTGCTTCGTCAGGAAAATTCCGCTAATCTGCGTGTTCTTTGAAGGGTCTCACTGGAATGCAGGGCCAGTTCTCGGTTCGTATGCGGTTCTTGGTCACTGCGCCAGAGCAATACGTGAGTGTTTGTAGCCTACGGCAAGCACAAAGTTAGTAATTTCCTCTGCCCCTGACTCCCTTTGTTAAGTCTGTCTATGTGACTAAAACATGATTCTAGCACGCCGCCTTGCCTTGCATAGGATCGTTGATCCTGCTCGTGACTCGGTGATGAGTTTCAAGTCTGGTCAACAGGGCGGTCACGAGTATCTGTTCCGGGTGTACTGGAGCATCCAGCTGGGGACTTCCTTGTTCATGCACTGGAGAATCTGTCTTGATGACCCACGCAATCCGAACGGGCCTAACGCACCGGTGGTAGTGGTACACATGCTGCACCGGATTCCTCCACAAGACCTACAGCCCTTCCCGGCGGTTTGAGATCGTCAAATGAGGGAATGGAGGCATCTATCTCTTCGGTCTCCCTCATGTCTCCTTACATCTCCTTTTCCTGATTATCCACACACTCTTTCACCCTATTACTCTCTTATTTTCTTTTCTTTCTTCCTCTTTTATACTCTTGTGGTTATTATAATTTCGGCTTTTCTAACTCCCTTACACACTCCCTTGCACACTCTGATTATCCATTATCTCTAGCATTTCATTTTTTTCGCGCACCATAGACCATCATTGTTTCTGTTCACGGCACTAATAGACTGACTACAGCCGCACTTACTAATTATTGAGGAAGATCTCAGATTGTGATAGTATATAGTTGCTAGATAGACTAGAATGACATTGCTGTTTTGATATTTGCTTACACTGGCAGGGCAGAGAGAAGAAATGGGGAGAGACGGACAACAGAAAGCCCATTCAATGCTAATCCATCATTCATCCATCAAACGTCTCCTTCACAGCAAGAACTCATATCATCTCCTCAATCAAACACCCTGAGCCCGAATCTGACTCCTCACCGACGCGCACGACCTTCTCTTCTTCTCCAGAGACTCAAGTGCACCACTTCCCGTCGCTTGCCGCTTGCCCTGCGATGCTCCAAGCGGCCCGAAAGTGCACTTGAGCTGGCGATTCAAGATGCCAGGAATGGACTTGCCGGCATCCTTACCGAATGCGCGGTCCCGATTAGAAGAAACGGTGGATTGACCATCCCGCAGAGAAAGTCTGATGGGATCTCTAGCCAACGACGCCTCTCTGACCGCGACCACCTGGCCCTTCTGAGAGGGCTGAGATGATGACGGTGAGCTAGTTACCGGTGATGAATTCGAGACCTGCTGGGACGATGATGAAGAGTCTTCTCCTTCCAACGCGCTGTAGAGTGCATCCCCATAGAAGCCGTAGGTAAGCTGACCGGCGACTTCACCTTCCACAGCCCCTTTGACAGCGTCCTTGAAAATTTCCCCGCCCGTCTTTGCAACCTCATTGACCGTGTATGAGCCAGCTCGTCCGATGAAACTCTTGAAGTTGGTAGCGAATTTGAGTCCAGAAGCTAGAAACCGGCCACCAGCCTCGCCGAGCACACCGCCGACTAAGCCGGCGAGCGCGTCGATTCCAACGGACTTCCATGTTGGCATTCGCCCTTCGACTAGATCTGTTCCTATTCCGACTCCGACACTGGTTGCCACCCCGGCTGCGATTCCCACGCCGATCTCGATGGCCACACTTGCTCCGGCTGTGAGGACGCCGACTGCAACGCTCACTCCCACGCTGATTACGGTGGACACTAGATCTGCCCAGCTGAAATCGAAGAGCCCGAAGAAGCTCCACTGCCCGCTTGGGTCGATGCGGTTGATTGGGTCGCCCAGGCAGTAAGCGTAGCCGTTGACTTCACCTGTGCCGAATGGGCTGCCGGGGTCGGGGACATGGTAGCGCATCAAGACGGGATTGTAGACGCGGTATCCGTTACCCAGGTGGTACCATCCTGTGACTGGATCACGCCACTGGCCGTTGAAGCCTATGGAGGAGGCAGAATCGGGGGCGCTGAAGCCATAGGGCGTGTACTGCTGTTGCTGGATCTGATCTGGCTGTGCTGTGTCGAACCAGTTGAGCACAGAGCCATTAGCGTCAGATCCCCAGAGCTGGATCTCGGTAGAATCGCCGTTCTGAGTACTTTGTCCCAGGTATTCATTGCCAGCAGATATATAGCTCACTTGGCGATCTCCGGACTTGACACTGATAAGTTTGTCCTGTCGGTAGAATAGCTGGGTATCTGGCTGGTCAGGGATTGACTGGGAAATCAGTTTACCAGCTGCATCATAGTTGTATTGACTGAGAAGACTGCCACTGCTATCTTTGACTGACTTCAGGCGGCCACCGCTGTCGTATTCCAAGGTACGACCTTGCTCATCTTGGATGAGACATCCATTAGCATCATATGCCAGGGTGGTTTGAGGTGTGAAATCGGGATGGCTGTTTGCAATCTGGCTGAGCTGGGTTGGATCACTCTGACTGTATGAATAGGTTGCCGTGTTTTGGGTCCCATCTTGGAAACCTGTTGTGACTGATGTGATGTTATCGAGGTTATCGAAGGTGAATTCTTGGGATTGGATCTCATGTCCCTTTTCATCTTTCGGAAGTTGGCTTCCCTCGCATGTGTACTTGACCAAACGGTTGTGCTCGTCGTAGGCAAATGATTCGTTTCGGACAATGTTCCCACTTTCTTCTACTTGCCGCGTGGTGACAAGACTCGTCTCGCCAAAGGACTGAGTCAGTCTAGACACCTGTTTCTCCCCTTGCAACACTGTGCGCTCAATTTCTCGACCGAAGTCATCGTAGACGAGGTTTGTGGTCAAGCTGGAGTCGTGTTCTTGGTCTTGAACTGTAGTGCTGGACAGACGGTTGGCGCTGTCATATGAATAAGAGACGGTGAGGGATCCTACGGCCAAGGAACTCAGGCGGCCTGCACTATCATATGTGTTCTGGTATTCCGTTCCATGGACATCGGTATATCCTTGCAACTTCCCGGCCATCGAGTATGTCGATTGAGTAGAAAAGGATGCGGCACCTTCGCTGAGGTCGAGCGCTTCACTTTTCAGTAGGCCTGACGGGAAGTACTGACGATCCGCAGTGCTGGATGAGCCTTTGAGCTGTAGCGCAACCCCTGTCTTTGAGTCATACTTGTATGTCTCATTCCTGTCTTGGCCACTGACTGTCGATAGCGATTGGCGCAAACCCGGTTCGTATGTGAGTTTGAAGTCGCCCTTGTCCGTGGCAATCTGAGTTGGCTCTGGGGTGCTGCCCTGGTAGGATTGTTTCAGACTGCGCCCCCCGACTGTTCGCTGCGTCAATCGGTCCAATCCATCGAAAGACTGTCCGCCAAGGTTTGTGTCGTTGACTTGGAGTGATGTCGGGAGAGCTGCCGCGCTTTGGGTAGCATACTGGACGTTAACTTCCCGACCGCTCGCCCATGTGGTCTTAGTGACTCGGTCAAACGAGTCAGATTGGTATTTTGTCTTGCGACCCAAGGCATCTTCTTCTTCCACCAGTCGTCCCAGTCCGTCATAGCTGTACGTGAGCTTGCTGTACTCGGTTCCATCTTTACCCAGAAGGCGGATCTGAGTAGGCACACCGGACAGATTGAGCTGCGTGACAGTTTGGCCTTCGCCCTCGATTCCTTCTGTTTGACTCAGGCTGATAGGATCCGTTGCTGAAATCGTTGTGACGCCTGTGCTATTGTTTACAGTCTTCAGGACCTGACCCCAGTCATCATACTGCAGTGCCTTGGTTGTTCGTAGTTCCGTTGGATCGCTGTCTTTGGTACGCAGCCAGTCAATGTCAGTTTGTTCAACATGTTGGCCCAGAGCATTGTAGTTGCGCTCCTGCAGTAAGCGAAAAGTGCCGGAGTATGTGTTGGTAGATGCATCCCACGAGCCATCATCATCTTGTCTCTTCACTTGGCAGATTCTCTCCAGGCCGTCAGAAATGTATTGTGTCTGGACACCTTTAGCATCCGTAACTGACAGCACCATGCCACTACTGCCGTCGTCAGGGATGGCGTAACTGTTGTAGCGGACTGCTTCCTGGTCGGTATTGATCGCTGTTGCGGCTTTGACCAATCTGCCCAATGCATCGTATTGGAAGACATCCTGGATACCAGCATCATCCGTCTGTCCTGTAACCTTTCCAGAAGACAGAGAATGGATCGTCTCAAATTTGGCCGAAACGCCGTCAAAGCCAGCCGTATTGAGTGTCTTTTTCAATTCGCCGCTGCTGAGATACTCGTAGGCATATGTTTGGGTTGTGGCGTTGTCTTTCGAAGATAACCATGTTTTTTGTTCCTGGACTCGTCCATGATCGCGCGAGTCTGGCAGGTTGATATACGTATACTCGGCAGTGGTCAGCGAGGTGTCCCCCTCAAGAGTGACGCGCGATGATTGCAGAACAAATGTCTGCACTGTCGCATTGCTTGAAGTAGGGAGCTCCACATAACCGAATTTCTCTGTTCTGGTCGGTGCAGCAAAGGACGTCTCCGCCGGAGTCACTGTTTCCGTTTTCAAATATCGTTGGAAACCATGAGGGTCAGCCGGGCAATCTGCCTCTCCATCTGCGGCGTAGTATGTGCGAGTGGTAATCAAGCCATCCGGTTTGATCTCCGTAGTAGGATTGCCCCATTCGTCAAACTCGGTTGTTGTTGTTTCTGTCCGACTGGAGGCAGTTGTGTCCGCATAGGTGATCGCAACCGTTTTAGGTAGCAAGTATTGCGCAGGCTGATCGTCAAATGCTGTATTCGGAGTCGCATGATATGTGATGTCCTGGGTTGTCTTTTTCGTGTTCAGTTGTTCCACGATTTTGGTGGTCAAGTGGAACTTGTTGTAAGTATAGGTTGTGGTTGCTCCACCCTCAAGCTGCGCCGTGGATGTGTACTGGTATTCCGCAGGCACCTGGTACAGGTTATCCCCGGTATCACTCCACTGCCGTGCTCCTCCATAGCCCAGGAAGTTATAGGAGGAGAAGCTGTAGGTTGTCTTTATGGCTGGCTGCTGACGACCTGGACGCGCCACATGAGACACCACGTATGGAATTCTCGTAAAAGGCGCTCCAGAGGGTAGCTGGTGGCCATCTTGCTTGTAATTGACCTCTTCAACCAAGCCAGTGGGGCTTGTCACCTGTGAAACACACACGAATCCGTTGCTGAGGGATTTGTACGAAAACTGCCACGGGGGCGTGCCGTCGTCCAGCGGCAGTTTGAGCTGGGTTAATTGCGCATTACGCCGGATAAGCGTGAAGGTGCTGGCCGCGGTAGTTCCAGGCGCCTTGGTGATGGTTACCTGCGCATCGGAATATTGAACTTCTAGTAGAACATCATCGCCGTCTTGGATCTTGCTCAGTCGTGGCTGTTCACCGTTGCGGATCCACTCTAGGCTGAGTGAGCGACCGTTTGCGCCGTAGATGGTGATTGGAACCGATTGGTTGTAAGTGTTGTTGAAACCAGAGAGAATCTCTACCTGGCCTGATTTGTAGGCCACCTCATAAGTAGATCCTGCTGATGATCCCGTTCTCTTGGCCTGGAAGCTCTTGAGCTTCTGGTCCTGGATGAAAAAGGTACTGGTCGTCTCAGTGACTTGGAAGTTTTCACCCGTCGAGAGCAACAGAGTCTTGCCTTGGCGATGGTCGTAGGAGGGTAGATTAAAGGACCAGCCAGTACCCAACCCGATATCTTTGGTGTTGAGGGGATTGTAGCTCAAAGATAGTTTGAGTGACGGACAGTTGCGAGTCTCCGATGGCGCATCAAAGAGTTGAATACTGACGGTGTATTGTCCAGTACGAGGATCAACTCCTTTCTGCAGAAAGCTTTGAAAATTGAAACTCTGAGAGTAGAGGTCGCTAGGATTCGAAGACATGATGGGCTGTCTTCTGATTTCCAACAAAGATGAGATCCTGATGATGGAAGGATTGTGAACGAGATCAGGGAATGAGCATGACACTTAAAACTAGATTCCAGAGCAGTGAACAGCTCTCTATATATACATAAATGCCAGTATATGCCAGCATCTTCCTACCCTGCCAAGAAGGAGGAGCAGGAGCACAATGACTGACCTATTGATGCATCAATCGATGCTGTCTTCGTCACCTCCATGCTGCCAAAGCAGGTCTCTACACTACACATGCAAGTCTCACTGGTGGAACATGATGATGAGCGTCCATCCGTCTGCGAGGTGTACTTGCCACCTCAAGTTGATCTAGCACGTCAAGTAGGGCTCATTCAAATCACGCATCTCATTCTAATGGCGACAACATGGCATACAACTATTACGACATCGTACATGCTAAGCCATCAAACTCACAGATGTATTACAGTATCATTACATGTTTGTCGGGCTCTCCGAAATGCTGCAATAGTGGAGGGCTGAGACTGCTAAGAAGACTACTAGTACTTAGGGTTGCTCATATTGTTCGGGTTTGCCAGCTGAATTTCAGCTCGGCAATATATTCCGGGATGAATCCGAAGAAAATGATTGGATACTAAGTAGTACTTAATCGAGTAACTACATATTGGAGGGGTGGAGTTCTAGACAATACCAGGATGGTAGTTGTTATATTAATGTTACATTGGATGGATCTGCCCTCTAACACTTATGGAAGGTGGAAGACGTGTCAAGGTGCACCTGATATTCGCATAGAATAGAGTCATAGGCCCTGAACGATCGCTTGGACCCAGGTCGCACGGCACGAGCCACTGCATCTTTCCTAATATTAGCTCGCAGGATTGCTGCAACCTTAAGAAAACCAAATCCCGGACAGGGCGATCGCTTAACGAGGACTTTGTTAGTTCATTTGGTCTGTATTCATTGGGATGAATGAAACAGAGAACTATTCCTGAAGGAATGCCTGCTGGTCATAGTGAGCCTACCCCGCCCTGCTGGTGTTATGGTGGTCAGAGATTTTCCAGCAGTCCACCGGACTATTCACTATTTACTATCGGCTTGGCGTCACTCTGGATTGAATCGTGGCAACTTGCTGTGTAGTCGGTCTAGTAAACGGGCGGCGTTACGGACCCCTGCTAGCAAGTGCACTAGTAAAGAGGACACGCTGGGCAGAATAGTACCGGTTCCAAACGAAGAAAGAATGCAGCAACCCTGACAGTCTAGTACTAGCTCAGTACTATGTCGCTCTTCGCAGACAGGATTGTGTGAAAACAAGGTCGTTTGACTGGGTTGGAAGTATAGTGGTGGTTGGTCACTTGCTGCGCTTAGCAGCCCTTACAATAGCTTTGAAATCAGGTCTGGAGTTGATTTTTTTAGAGCGATCGTCGCCAAGATCATGGCCCAGACTTTGACTGATAGGTTCTAATCGCCGTTGGCAATAAATTAAGTGCTCCCCGATCAAGCAGAATGCATGAGGGTGGCAAAGTTCAACTTACAAGATGCATATGCGTCCAGGGCGCAGCTGAACCGGCTGAGGGGAGGCACCAAGTCAATACTGACTATCGATGATTATACTAGACAAATCCTGGGCCCGTTCCAACTTGGCAGACCCACCATGGAGTGAGCTGAATGCTCATGTTATACTATCTATGCATTGGAACCTGCAAGTGGCCAACGATCGACGAGACAGGATTTCCATTGGGCAAAAGGCCCCGAATGATTACGCAAGATTCTAAAGAAAATAGTGAAGCCTCATCAAATAAAGCAAATCCCGAAGAGCCTGTGTGATCCAGAGCTGATATCGGAACAATGGCGTGCTCTTCAATTTGTACAACCGAGATGGTGGGCATCACCTACTGCTTTGTTCGCTTGGGAAATCTATAATAACCCTTGAGAAACACATTCCTCCGTCTGTTCAGAGATACTTTCAACTCACATCTTCCATCTCAGTTATCATTCATCTACTATCTCATCATGGGCTCAACTTCTGTCTCTTGGGAAGTTACCTCGCTCGAAGTTCAGGTCACCACCCCCAACGCTACGAGTGATGCTCTTTTCGCCAATGGCAACATGCAGGTTCCTGTGATTGTTGTGATCAAAGCGATTGATTTAGACACAAACACGGTATATGAACTGAGTGATCTGGAACTCGAGACAATCAAACTCATCGATTATGATGATCCTCCCACAGAACTCCCGGAGTCGTGGAGCTATTCATCGACAGAAAACGAATTCGAGCACACGTTGCCGGCCTCCACGAAAGGCCCCAGATCTGAGCCAGCGCCTTTTAATGTGGGTATTCAGAAGAAGCGCTACTGGGTTACGACTACAGAATTGGAGAACAAAAGAATCGCTGCTAGCATCAAACAACCCGATGGAACTGTTGTTCATACCGGGGGTGGAACCTTTGATTCCAAGGTCACTCTCACCGGTACGCAACCAAGGAAATACGAACGGAAGGATCTACATATCCTGCGAGAGGATACCGCAGACGGCGGTTTTTCAGGCCTCAGCGGGACTTGGGATCAGGACAACTATTACCTTACCAGCAAGATCGAGGGCTATGAGCTCCGCAAAGCCGATTTCTACGATTATATGCTAGGCGATCCCGACCCTGCCTTAGAATACGCGGTCGCTGGCTTCTGCAAAAGCATTCCTTGCAGTATTTTCTATTACTGGCCGATGGGCCCAGAGGAAAAACGAACAGCGGGGAGGAGTCCTTATACGGCTGAAATTACTATCAACCAACGAAGCGACGCCCTATGCTTCACCCGCATGTGGCTTAAGCCCTCATCCTCAGATAAACCTTGGAACGATGCCGGATATCGTTCGGGTAAGTTTACAGTCTATGATAAGTATGGCAATAGTGGCGTTTTCTATACGGGTTACGAGGATAATAACAACCAACTCTATGTCACGAACGAGCCATATAAAGGTTAAAATGATAGTGATGGGACGAAGGGGGTGAAGGGGTCAATTGACGGGATCTAGTTAGGTTTCTAGTGTTACTAGTACTTCAAGTAACAATCTCTTTATTGGAAGGTATTGGAGCATCCACCGTAGCCAGATTCTTCATCAGACCCTCTATCACTACTGCATACGTGACCTTACCTACATCTCCTTCTTTCCGATTCCTGTCTTTCCGGTGTTTCTTACATTAACAGCATTGAGCACCTAGATCGATACAGGGTATATTCTGCCTCTGATGTCTTGAGGAGAGGTTGGAAGTAGTATATAAGTCCCCTTGGAGAAAAAATGCCAACTGTCAAAGTACTTCGCAGTCACTCAATTATACGAGCTCGTAGGCTCGCATGCCACACATAGATACTAGCATTAATCATCATGACTGGGAGTTGGAGGATGGTGTGCACCTGCTAGGCCACGAATAGCTTCTTCGTGCTGGATGGCATCGCGTGCAACTCCAATTCAGAAAGATTGATAAGTGCGATTATATATTGTAGTCTAAGAAGGTATGCTAAAATCTTACTATCTTCCGATATTTGGTCCTCATCTCCCTTAGTACCTTCGTTTCCGTTCATACGACTAGAAAGGTCTGTCTGTATTCAAACCCTATCTTGCGCATTTGGCAGAATATAACACCAAGGCCTATGGAGTATGGAGCACTAAGAACACTGTATAAAGGTGATCGTTGGTAAGAGATCCGGTAGCCTGGGCTTCTGAGCTATCAAAGTTATTTCCATCTCAGTTCTCGAGGCTACGCAAGCCTGAGGAGCAGAAGTACATGCCCAGGAGTAGTTTTAACGGTGATAGTGCTCTTGTCAGTTGCCCCGGCAGGGAATTCAGGGCAAGGAACTCTATTAGTCACCGGTTTAAAGTATGGCCTTAGCCGCACTGATAATGGCGGTTATGTTTAGTTTACGAGGACGCATGCACTGATTGTAGGCCACATCGGGCCTGTAGCTTCTGCAAGATGGTGGCATCGATGGCTGCAATTAATAAATCTCATGTCATTGCTTGGGGGTGCTTGTCTGACAACCATGGCCTACAGGCTGGACACGAACTGCTAGTCCGTGGAGCAACTTCGGCGTTCATTATACCCCAGTCATTAGGACTGGTATCCGGTCTTCTAGTAATCTTAATCAACGAAGAAAAGGATAGACTCTTATCTCTGCCACGCAGCTCCTTAAATTAATACTTTGTGTAAGGGCTTTGGCGTTCCAAATGGCGGGGAATAGCAACAAACCTTCTTCGAATTGTCTTTCCCCTCATTCTGCACACACTCAAAGACCCATTATAAATACCGGACCATTGATGCGACCGTACACAGTGGTTTTTAACGGACACATGCACGATTGAACTCCTATACTTACTCCACAATATGTTTATCACGTGATTAGATTGTTTCGTTTCGTGAGGTTACAACAGAACTTCCTTCCATGAGTAGGTCCATCTTCAAACCAACTGAGGCCAATGCTGTTTGGAGCAATAAAATGTTTCAGAAAGTATGGTCTTCGTCCAATCAATCCTCTGTATCGTTCCAGATTCTCTCTGACCTCCACCTGGAGGTTAACCACCAATATCTATCTTATGAAATTCCCGCTTGCGCAGAGCATCTTATCCTCGCGGGCGATATCGGACGCTTAGCGGACTATGAAGATTACCGCAACTTCCTCCAAAAACTGACTGGTCGATTCAAATTAGTGTTTCTCGTACTCGGCAATCATGAGTTATACAACGAGGTGTTTGCTACGGGGATAAAGCAAGCAAGGAAACTTGAACAGGAGCCTGCACTCAATGGACGGCTGATCATCCTCCATCAGAAACGATATGACGTTCCTGGTTCCGACATCAGTATACTCGGGTGCACGCTTTGGTCAAAAGTACCCAAGGAATCGGCCGATATTGTTCAGTCGAAAGTCAAAGATTTCCAAAAGATTGCAGAGTGGTCGGTTGATGACCATAATGCATGCCATGATTCTGATTATGCCTGGCTGATGAAGGAGATACATTCAATACAACAGGAGAATGAAACAGCGGGGAAGCGCAGTAGGCAACGGTCTATCCTTGTTGTGACGCACCATGCGCCTTCACTTCAGGGGACCTCTAGTCCTAAACATGCTCAGAGTCCTTGGGGTGTTGCCTTTGGGACTGATATTCTTTCGAAGATTCCAGGTGGAGTGAAAGCCTGGGTGTTTGGACATACCCATTACACTACTGATTTCATGGAGAAGGGGGTAAGAGTCGTGAGCAATCAACGGGGGTATGTGCTGCCTTGGAGTGATCCGAAAGCACACAGCGGGTTTGATGTGAGGAAGGTCATACAGCTATGATAAAGTCTGATGCTCTGTCTGTAGCCTCCAGGCATGTCAGCAAATCCCGTATTAATCGACCTATTGTTCCCAATTACAAGTGCCCCACTACTAGCGAGAAAGCCCAGCCTCAGATTGATAACGGCTGAGAGTATAATTATGCAGATCTGATATATTGATTAGTCGGTGGAGTGCATTGGCTGATGGAAGATGGGCTTCCACGCAAGTCATGACATTATGCTTAGCCATTATGGATGGAGGCCCGGGTAGAACTGGCCTTGGCCATAATTGGTTGAGATTGATTGTTTGATGTCGTTGAATTAAGAGGCATTTATTGCGTCAATAAAACCAGCATACCAGCCACCATCGGAATGGGTGTGGTAGCAAGTGTGCAGTGGTGTGTCGGGGCTTACCCCAGGTTGTGGGGTCAAATCTAAGCCCGGGCGGGTACATTGGAGCGATCGGCTATACAAACATTCCATCAAGTCATCATAAGTTGATATGCATCTTAGTGAGACCAACTAATGTACCATGGACCCCATAGAACAACAATCGAAGACAACGCAACCATAATGCAAGCGACCATGGATCCTGCCCTGCTTTTACGAAGGCTCAACCAATGCGAACCGGTTAAACTTCATAATGACTTCACCCAGCCAAAACCACGCAATCACAACGCTTCGAGACCAACGAGGGTGCGGCTGGGAGCAACAGCCGCCTGTGAGTAAAGTCCATCATGCAGATAGTCCCATCGTCATCATCTCATCATTAACGCCACCTTTGGACCATATATCATGCCGGGCCCGTGCCCCAGTTCGCTTCTGCCGTTGGTTTCATCTTACGTCGATCTGAATGTAACCATCACAACTGAATTCCATCTAGGCGACTGTACTACCACCTGGTACGCTTGCTGTTTTTCCTTGGTTGCGGGTGCAGATGTACTCGATTGCCGTGGAGATGGCCAGCAGTCTTAGCCGGATTATCAACTAATGGATTCTACAGAAAGCATACAACCACCACCATGTCCTCAACAGGTTCGAATCCCGTCTCGCGCCTTGCGGAAGCTGCCAAGGAGAAGGTTGCGCCCAGTACCTCCTCCAAAGCCAAGGATCCCAGTGCAAACTGGACCCCGGAGGAGATGTTCGAAACAACGTTGGATAGGAACGGCAACCCAGTGCCCAATGATTCCTATATTGACGTGGATAAAATGAGAAAGGGACGACAAGGCCCGGACGAAGGAGATGTCTTTGAGGCCGCAAATGAGGACTTCGACTAAGTCAAGCCCGGTGGGAATTATGACGCTGGAGGCGTCAATAGAGGGAGCAACGCGGCTATATGAGCTGAGACCATGCGGAATGTTCGATGCTGTCAGTCACTCTTTGCAGGACAAGAGCGGTGGATGCTGAGACATGAGTGCATGCAATGTGTAAATGTGGATAGTGCTAGTAATTTCCCGGTGGTGCACTCCTTGACCACCGGACCAACCGAAACAATCAGATTGTATGCAATCGAGACATATCCTTGCATCTTCGGCGGTCTGTGTCTCTCCGAACACAGCAGTAGTCTTTCTTATCGTGAGCTCGTGTCCCTGGCTGTCTGTAGAATTGCCATGGCAACCACCCGCTGCCAGAAGGTCTATGCGCTGCCTCAGGCTGTCTACTATTCCCGATCGGGAAATCCCCAAACGAGGTCATGGCGATGCGATTCATTCATCTGAACTCCCCACGATCAAACTCCCCCCCAGTTCTCGGTTGTTGCTTCTGGTCCCTACTCGATCGCTGCATCTCCCCGTGGACCTTCTTTGAGAGGGGGGAAGTGTGTACTGTCTTCCATCCCCTTGCGTACCACTGCATGTTTCTCTCTTTCACCTTCCATCGCAGGAGCTTTCCCGAAACCCCCGACTGCCCGACTGTTTACCCCATGTCGAGAGTGGAATCGCTCTGTTGTCTAGTGCCGGATGTCAATTGAGCTTGCAGACGGACGGTCCGCGCAAGCATATACATTCTGGATATCCTCCTTGTTTAATTCCCCCTTTGGAGGGCGAGCACTACGCCCATTCTTGGGTCCACTAACCCAGCAGCCACCCATACCCTTAATATCAATCCCTCCTCGATAAGAAAAGAGCCCGCCTCTCGGTCCCTACCCATCCAGTGGTACAGTTGCCTGTATGTACCATTGCCTACTTCAACGCCATCGTGAGCACCTCACTCAGTTTGTACAGTTTTTGAGGGATCACGGTCACGAAATGTCCCTGGACCCCCGTTTCTACCACCATATCGGCCACGGCTCCGGGCCTGGCTCCCAATCCTCCGCCTCGTCCTCCGGGATCTCCGCGATAACCGGCATCACCAGTCCCTCGGCCCATTCGATGACTGCCTCCGCCGCAACCTTACGATCAACCGCGTCCAGTCCGTCATTGCGCGCACGCGAGGGCGTGGCCGTGTCTGCCCACCACCGAGTCGACAGCATGTCTAGTCCGGCCGGCGGCGGCAACGTGCGCGTTGTCGTCCGTGTGAGAAAGTTCCTTCCCAGAGGTACGTCTGGCTAAACGGTAAAGAGTAATACGGATGGAAGCTGACAGTCATCCCATACTTGGGAGCACAGAGATTAACCGCAATGCCGAATGTCTGATCAGCATGGATCCGCAGACGCAGACGACCAAACTTCGAGCGCCCCTGATAAGCCCGGAAGACGAAGGGAAGCCTAAATCGCAGGCGCGCGGAAAGGTGTTGGAGGATAAATCATTTGTCTTTGACAATTCTTTTTGGTCGCATAACGAGCGGGACCCCCACTACGCCCCCCAGGAAGACGTCTACAACTGTCTGGGAGAAGAGTTCTTGGACCACAATTTCGAAGGATACCACACCTGCATATTCGCCTATGGCCAGACAGGTTCTGGCAAGAGTTATACCATGATGGGCACACCGGAAGCGCCTGGATTGATTCCTCGGACCTGCGAAGATTTGTTCCAACGTATCGAAAGCGCCGAATCTCCGGATATTAGTTTCAACGTGCGCGTCTCCTACTTCGAGGTCTACAATGAGCATGTGCGCGATCTGCTGGTCCCTCGGAGCGACCCGCCGCACTACCTTCGTATTCGGGAGTCCCCGTTGGAAGGCCCGTACGTCAAGGACCTAACAGAGGTGACGGTCAAGAGCTTCGACGAACTCATGAAGTTCATGCGCAAGGGAGATGTATCGCGCACTGTGGCTAGCACTAAGATGAACGATACGTCGTCCCGGTCACACGCAGTGTTTACTATTACTCTGAAGCAGATCCACCACGACCTTTCGACCGATGAAACCACTGAGCGCACGGCGCGAATACGTCTCGTTGATCTGGCAGGTTCGGAACGAGCCAAGTCCACGGAAGCAACCGGTCAACGACTGCGCGAAGGGTCCAATATCAACAAGTCCTTGACCACACTGGGCCGAGTCATTGCCGCACTGGCAGATCCCAAGCCGGGTCGCGGGGGCAAACGCAAGGGCAAGGATGTGGTCCCGTATCGCGACTCGATCCTGACCTGGCTGCTGAAAGATAGTCTTGGGGGCAACTCGAAGACGGCGATGATAGCATGTATATCTCCCAGTGACTACGAGGAAACGCTCTCTACCCTACGATACGCAGACCAGGCAAAGCGCATCCGAACACGCGCCCGAGTTAACCAGGACCACCTCTCCGCTGCCGAACGTGATAAACAGATCGCCGAAATGGCGGAAACGATCCGCACGCTTCAGCTGAGTGTCAGTCTGGCCGCAGCTAACCGACGGGAGAATGAGATGCAGAACGAGCGCCTCGAAGATTATCAGCAGAAGGTGGAGAAGCTCCAGCGACTGATGGAGGAGACGAAGATGGTGAGTGAGTGTAAGATCCGGCAGCTGCAGACGGAGAACGAGGCCCTGCGGAATCACCTCAAGCTGGCCTTGGACAGTATCCGGAACCCGATCCCTCCGGTGGTGGTGCATAAGCGCCGGAGTGGCTTATACAGTGTGAATGAGAATGATGGCTCCCCGTCCAATCGCAAGCGGCTCAGCCGTGCCCGATCGCCTCCATCCGACGTCGAGCCCGAACCCGAGCCGGACCTCATTTGGGAAGATGAAGACACGATGCAAAGCGAGGCCAGTCATGTTGAGGCGCAGGAAATGCAGACGCATATGGAGAACCTTTTGGACGACCTGAGTATGTTCAAGCGCAAGATAGCGACGGACCACGAACGATTCCGACCCAGCTGGAAGCCTGAAGGACGAAAGCGACGACGAGCGCTGGGCAATGTTTGGGTCAACAATCGATAAATGGACAACTTCGCGAATAGAATGGGATGGGATTGGGCTGGGTAGCGTGGGTGGCTTTGTGATTATGGCGTTGGATGGATTACTTTGGATGCACATAATTGGAGACGCTGATTTGATTTGAACTGTGTCTCGCTGCGATGATATCTTTGCTGCTTTTCTTCCTTCTTCTCTTCCGGCCTTTAGCTTTTACTTTTCTGGCACGATGACATGATTGTATGGTAGGATGACAAGGATGCTTGATGCCCGAATACCATGAAACCTTGTGATTAGTCGATGCACATCGGCTGTGGCTTGATAGAATGTCTGCCCAGCTCTGACTCAGGTACCTGCTATAGTTAGTATACCTTGATACATGAAGGTGTGAGTTATAGATAAATAGGTGAATGTTCTGTAAAGCAATTGCTAGTTATCGACGGTGAGATCCGGTTTCGCAGCCCCGATGACTCCACTCCCAACCACCACAGAAACCTTTACTAGTGAGGTGAAGTAACACAGTGGAATGATACTCCTAGAGATACTCCTCACACTGGGAAGCACCGTGGTGCAATACGTGGGAATTCTCGTGGTGGTAACAGCAGCTTATGTGGTGAAGCAGCAGCAGCAGCAGCAAAGCGTGAGTCAACGACGGGAACGGGTTTCATCGCCGGCTCCCCCCACAACATCCACTTCTTCTTCCACTTCCTCCTCCGCCGAAAAAGTCTCCAATGCCCCTCCCGATCGCCTCGATACTCCCCCTCCTTCCTTCGACTACACATCACCTCTCATAATGGCGACCCCCGTTGACTCCTCACAACCCCCGGCTGAAATGCAATCCCAGCAATCATCATCATCATCCCCAGGCGCTGCCGCTGCTGCTGCCGCCGCCGGCGCCAACGCCTCCGCTAAGCCCGCTAAACCGCAGCAATCACAGCCCGCCAAGCAACAACCACAACAGCAACAATCACAGTCTAAAGGAAAGGATACTGCCGCCGCTGGTGGAGATGGCGCTGCGCTCTCCCCCGCCGAATTGAAGAAGAAAGCCAAAGCCGAAAAGGCCGCCCGTCGCGCTCGCGAACGCGCCGAACGTGAACAGTCCGGTGGTGGTGCTGGTGGTGCTGCGCCCGGTGGGGGTCAGTCTGCTGCTGGTGGGAAGAAGGGCGCGTCGGGTCCCGGTGGTGCTGGGGCTGGTGGGAAGGATGCCTCTGGTGCTGCGACGCCGCAGAAGGGTGGTCATCAGAAGCAGCTGCCTCGTCGCGGTTCGGCGCAGGCGACGGGCCAGCCGAGTGCGGCGGAGTTGAAGAAGAAGCAGGAGGAGAAGAATGTTTCGGTCTTTGGACACTTGTATGGTCAGCAGCGCAGGACTACGATTGCTGGCGCTGGAAAGGAGGTGCATCCGGCGGTTTTGGCGCTGGGCATGCAGATGAGAGACTATGTGGTTTGTGGTAGTAGTGCTAGATGTGTTGCTACGTTGCTGGCTTTCAAGAGGGTATATCTTTCTATTTTGGAGTTTGGCTGTGTGCTGTGATGTATTAACGTCTGTCAGGTCATCGAAGCTTATACTACCCCTCTGGGCACCTCGCTCGCCCGCCACTTGACTACCCACCTCTCTCACCAGATTACCTACCTCTCCACGTGTCGTCCCTTGTCTATCAGTCAGGGTAACGCTATCCGCGCCCTCAAGCTCGCCATCTCCTCCATCGATCCCTCCGTCCCCGAAGCTACCGCCAAGGCCTCGCTGTGCGATTTCATCGACAGCTTCATCCGCGAGAAGATCACCGTCGCCGACCAGGTCATCGCCGGCAGCGCAGCACAGAAGATTCAGGATGGAGACGTGATCGTGACATTTGCAGGCAGCTCGATCGTGAAGCAGACGCTGTTGGCGGCACACAAGGAGGGCAAGCAATTCCGCGTCTCCATCATCGACTCGCGGCCACTGTTCGAGGGTAAGAACCTGGCGCGCACGCTCGCCAACGCCGGTCTGGACGTGCAATACTCCCTCATGAACGGCATCAGCCACGCCATCAAAGACGCTACCAAGGTTTTCCTGGGCGCCCACGCCATGACCAGTAATGGTCGCCTGTACTCGCGCGTCGGTACCGCACTGGTCGCTATGTCGGCCAAGGAGCGCGCCGGCGGCGTCGAAGTTCCCGTCATCGTATGCTGCGAAACAGTCAAGTTCACGGACCGCGTCGCGCTGGACAGTATCGTCGTGAACGAGATTGCAGACGCCGACGAGCTGGTGACGGTCGAGCCGGTGCAGCAGCTTACCGGGTTGCCGGATCCCGCGGCGCAGCCCGCCGTAGAGCCCAAGAAGGGCGGCAAAGCTAGCAGCGCGCCGGTGGAGACGAGCACGGCGGCACAGAGCAAGTCGTCGCCGCTGGAGGACTGGAAGGAGTCGGCGAATCTGCAGCTGCTGAATATCATGTATGATGTGACGCCGGCGGAGTATGTGGATATGGTGGTGACGGAGATGGGCAGTTTGCCGCCGAGTGCAGTACCTATAGTGCATCGGATGAGTACGAATATGTAGGGTTTAGTTATTAGGTAGATAATGGATGCAATGTGGTTTACTTGTGAGTGGATATGATTCGTAGTTGGGAATGAAAGCGGTGATCCTGATTCAATCCCGTAAATGCTTATCGCAACCACTTCTCAAACACAACTGACAACCACCTACTACCAACTACCACCCCAATCCACAATAACAACATCAACCATACACCAAACACCAGCTACACACTCAACTGACCTTCACATCACTCCAACTCCAAGCCACATCCTCCCTCCAAAATGGTACACCCCTCCCCAATACCCTCCTCCCTTCATCCCATCCCAATTTGTCCCCTCACCACCACCACTCCCCATCCCAATCCCCCCAAAACCCCCCAACCATCCAAACCACCAACTAACCCATACGAATATTATAACCTATAGAGCAAAGACTCCACCCCCACCCACCTCCACATGCACCACCCCCGACTAGCAGATTACTTCGAAGACTTCACGCGTCCACACCACCACACCACCTCTTCCTCTTCCTCCCCCTACACATCATCCACCGCAACCCAAGCCTTCGCAACAACAACAGCGGCAGCAGCAGCCACCGGCGGCGGCGGCACCGGCACCTCCCCGACCCTCACGCCCTCCTTCCTCCCCATCGAAGACATCTACATCCCGCCGCAGTATCAGCCCCCCAACCCGGAGGACGAAGACGATGTGGTTCCGGATCAACACGCCGCGTTTGGGATTGCGAGGGCTATGGCGTTGCAGGGCCGCAGGGGGGAGGGGGCGTGGAGGGATTTGGGACTCGAGGGGTTGGTTAGTGGGATGGGGGGGTCGGGGGGTAGTGCTGAGGCTGGGGCTGCTGGGAAGGTGAGGGTTAGGGGGGAGGGGAGGTTGATGGGGGGGAGGAGGAGGGTGGTTTGTTTGAGGTGATTTTTTTCTATTTCATTGTTTTGTTGGTTGGGGATGTGGGGGGAGTTGGGAATGGGGATGGGGAGGGAGAGGGATGGTGGTGTTATGGTTATTGTTATGGCTAGGCTACGCTATTATACCCTGCGTTTGTTGTGTTTTTTATGGGCATGGGTATGGTATGGGTATGGTATGGGTAAGGGCATGGAGGAGTCTTCGTGGAATCATCATTATCATGTATACTACTGCTGCTGCTGTTGCTATGCTGCGCTGCGCTATATCCGTATTATGTCTACCCGGGCCCGTTCATACAATTTATGGCTGACCTGCTTCTGCTCCCTCTCGTCGTCTTCTATCCGTCGTGGCTGAATCGCCATCTGTGCGTATGTACCTGCGCCGCGGCGTTTGGAGAGCGTGCCGGGGTTGATCACTGTTACGCTGTCCACTACCTGTCTGGTTGTTAGCATTATCATAGATTAAACAAAATACTGGGTGTGGGGGCTGACCTTAACAAACGGCGGCAGCATGCTCGGCGTTATCAACACGTCCGGCCGCACATTCCACCACTCGCCCAGCTTCGAATAGCTCACATCGACCATTCCCCCCGTTGCAAGGCCGGTTCCCGCTCGTGGCAGCATGTCTCTGCTCGATGTCGGGAACATCGGCTGGAAGTGTCGCTGCTCGATCATGTACTTGGGCAGTCTTGTCAGGAGGTTCCCCTCCGTTGGTTTGCCGTGGAGTACCTCCTCGCGGCGCAGCTCGTACAGCACGTCGTGCGAGCACATCCCAATGACTGTCTCGTTCAGTGACAGCGTCACCGGGTTCGACACCATGCGAACCTGCTTCGGCAGGCCCAGCTCCTTCTTGGGTAGCTGCTCCTGTGGCCAGGAGACGTGCTTGCTGACTGCGTCGCGGACGGACGGCACCAGCACGATCGTGATGCTGGGCACGGCTGCCACGAGTCGCTGTAGCGGCGCTGAGATGCAGTGCCGGAATACTGTAGTCAGCGTCACCGTGTCCGGGTCTACGCCGTTGATCTCGGGCAGGTCGAAATCCCCCGAGGCCAGCAGGGGATGCTCGATGTCTAGGAATGGCCCCAGCAGGACAAGACCGTCCGCATAGCTGTCTGCTGCCTTGCGGCAGATCTCTTTCAGTGGCTCGTAGTCGAGGTTGTCGTCTGCTGTGTACGGGCCGGCAGCGACGAGAACGTTCAAGGGCGCTGGGCCAGCGTCTTCGAGTCTCTGGTTGATGGTTTCGAGGTTGACGACTGACGATGCGGCCGGTGGGAGAAGGGGTGTGGGGAGGACCTCTTTGACGGAGAAGTAGTTGCCGGACGCATTAATGCCGCGCAGCGCCACGATCTGGCCCGGGAAGAAGTTGGCAGATGGCACGGATTCGAGTTTCAGTGGAACACGGATGCCTGCTCCTGTACGTCTGGACGTCTCGAGCACGAGTGACGCGGTGTTGAGTTTTCCTTCCATACTGTCGGATGCGATGCGGCCGACGGCCACGATCTCGCTGGTGCTCTGCGTGGCAGCGCTGCCGAATGTGATCTCGTCACTGCCGTACTGTTTCTCAAACAATGCCATGAATTCGTCGATGCGGTCGTCCAGGATTTCCGATGCCTCGGCCAGTCTCATGGCCATAGGCTTGTATCCGAACTTCTTCAGGTCTGTGTTCGCCGTCGGTCGTATGCGGGCTTCGGAGTATGGCGCGATAGGGGCCTCTGCTTGTGGGAGATGGGGGTTGATGGTTTCGATGGTTTCGCCTGCATTTTGGCGCTGGGAAAAGGGAATGGATCTGCTTCGTCAGTTGCGGACCTTTACGGTGATTCGCGCACGTACTGTAACCCATCACCGTTTGTCTGTTTCACACTGGTACTCATCGGAGATCCATTGTGTTCGGTTCTCCCGATCTTAGAGATTGATGGCGAAGCAAAGTCGGATTTCCGCTTCGCTGAACCGGCATTGCTCCGACCAGAAGCACCTGGTGTTAATCCGTCCAGCCTGACTTGTTAGATTTGTCCATCAAATCATTGATACTCAACATACATGCCAAAAACATCTGACGTAGCAGCGCGCGGGGTGGCCGGCACTGCTGGTTTCCTCTCCATCTGTCGGCCTGCTTTGCCGCGGGCTTCTCGCTCCAACGTATCCTGCACATCTTTCTTGAACAGTCGCACGGTACCCAAGTCCATCTTCAACTCGTCCGGGCCCATCTTCAGACAGTAAGACTCCCATTTGTAAAAGAGCTCCTGCGCGGAGATGGAGTGGATGCGCAGGATTGACTGCAACTCGGTGAGAACATCCTTGGGTAGACCATCTGGAGCAGCGGCAGCAAAGAGCTCATTGAGCTCTGCGACAGAATCCTCCATGTTGACTGGAACCCTGAATTATTGACGAGTTTGGGTAGTACTTCGTATCCAATATGGCTCACTATCGGAACTGCAATGACGCGCGACGCGTGAGACGCGCAAATTGGTTGGTGTGACCGCCTGCCGAAATGAGACCGCAGCACGACCCGCGGAACCACGTATTCTTTGACTGCAATTGATTAATCCAGCGGAGGTTTGCAGCTGACGATCGGTGGGCCTGCCGATCAACACTCCGCCCTGCTCAATCTTACGCCGTGAAAAAGGACACCCGGGAAGCTGCTTGCCGTTCTCCCCCTTTATTATATTCGCTGATGTCTTGCGATTTATAAAGTTGGTGCCCTCAGACAAGGCGGACGCTTACACTACAATCATCTACACTAGATTCAACAGATCCAAGCAAGCTCTTCATCATGAGCGCTCCCTCGAATCCCCCGGCCGCTTCGCCCGCCGACAATATTCCTGCTGTCGATGCCTCACAGACCACCCCTTCTGACCCGTCACCTTCAAGTCCTGCTGAGATCGCAGCTACCCCTGAGTCTACCACTAAACCCGCAGAATCCACCGCTTTAGCCAAGAAAATCGAGGAGTTCGAATCTCAATTGCCATTGTCCGCCGCCGACGGTCTCATCCAGAAGCCCTTTCCCCGCCCCCTTGAATCGGCCAAGCCGACACCCCCGGCCGAGCTCACCTCCGATCAGCAAGCAAAATACAAGGATGTCCTGAAGGCTGTCTCAGAATGGACCACGGTTCCGACAACGTCCGCTAAAAATTCTCCTACCGCCCCTATTACCGACGATGAGCGCATGTTCCTGACCCGCGAGTGCCTGTTGCGGTACCTGCGCGCAACCAAATGGAATGTCTCCGAGGCAATTGCGCGCCTCCAGCGCACGCTCACCTGGCGCCGCGAGTACGGCGTTGAAAAGCTCACAGCCGAATACATCTCCGTTGAGAATGAGACGGGCAAGCAGGTCATTCTGGGATATGACATTCACGGGCGCCCATGCCTGTACCTGCTGCCATCAAACCAGAACACGGAAACGAGCGACCGCCAGATCCAGCACTTGGTCTTTATGCTTGAGCGCGTTATTGACCTCATGGGCCCGGACCAGGAGACGCTGGCACTGATCGTCAACTACAAGGAGACGAAGTCGGGTCAGAACGCGAGTATCGGCCAAGCCAAGCAGACCCTCAACTTTCTGCAGAACCACTACCCAGAGAGAATGGGCCGCGCCCTTGTAATTAACAGTGAGTTATCCCTATATCATGCAAACGATAGTCTCTGACCGCATTCAGTGCCTTTCATGATCCTTGGTTTCTTCAAGATCATCACGCCGTTCATCGACCCATTGACTCGCCAAAAGCTAAAATTCAACGAGGACCTGGGTCAGCACGTGCCTCCAGGCCAGTTGATGAAGTCCATGGGTGGTGAGGTCGAGTTCCGGTACGACCATTCGATCTACTGGCCGACGCTCAACAAACTTGCCGACCAGCGCCGAGCAGCATACAAGGAGCGGTGGATCCAGGGCGGCAAACGTGTTGGTGAGATTGAGAACTATCTGAAGACGGGCACCAGCCCGAGTCTCTCTCAGACGGAGGGAGCGAATGGTGGAGCGCAGCCTGCAGCATAAAACTTCCCATCTTGTGCGACTTCCGGGTAAAATTGTCTTTTATTGTTCTTCGAGCGTTTGCGATTGCATGGCTGTGGCATAAAGCATAGATACGCCTTTATAATTCTTTGGCATCGTTTTTCGAGCTCTCGGTTAGACTTGTGGTATAAGTAGACACATGGTCCAAAACATTTCAGCAACCTTTGCTTGTTATCATCCTGTCGCGTATAAATATCTAAGAAGGCATTGGTGTCGGCGTAAATAGAGACCGGAGCTAGTCAAGCAAGCGACTCGAAGCTTTCTCCGCAGTGGCCTGTCACGTGTGGGGATGGCGGGGCATGTCTGCCTCAGGCATATATCCCACCACTTCCCACCACTCAAGTTCTCAACGAAGCTGCAGCAATACATATGCTGGAAATGGAATGCTGCGGCATGTAGTAAACATAAACATAATCTGAACATGACACACTGCACATCTTCCAGCCTGTCAGAATGTCTGTTCGGAAATTTGACACCTCAATGCCCGTCTTGGATGCCCCTCGTTCCTGGTGCACTCTCTCAACTGCAACTATCCAGGCGACTGGGGTCTTAATTAACTAAGATAGTACAGTAGGCAGATTAATTAATCAGGAGATGTGATGCATCATCCTAAGCATCCTGCGCATGATTCGTCGCGCGCGCTGTCTTCTCAGATGATCCTAGACAGTCTCCTTTTCTTTTTAAAACATCCCATACTGATCCTCTTCCTCCCCGCCTATCCATATCACTAGGAATACTAATCATATTATCCCAGCGGCACCGGCAGGTTATAACCCCTGTCAACTGCATCAAGCCTTGAGCCTATTAATCCTACAGGTCTGGGAGATCATTTCCACCCACAGTCAACTTTTTTGTCTCGTCCATTCTGGATGTCTGGATGTGTTTTGCGGTCCTACGACAGTAGCGGCACTGGGCAATCAAGATGGAGGAAGCTCCCCAGCGGGTGCCCGTAGTCCCCACGGGCAGAATGAGCAGCACTTCCGGGCGGCCGCTTTCAATCACCGACGACACCTCCACCACCACCACCACTACCACAACTACCACTACTACTACCACTGCAACGACCACCTCGACCACCTCCACCATCACTGCGCTGACGACTAGCACGGCTGCTGCTGCTGCTCCTGCTGCTGCTCCTGCTACTGCCTCTCCTCGGTCCACTCCACCTCAGCCTTACCCTCGCCCGCCTTCCTCCACCGGTTCCTATCCCTCGCCCATTCCCTCTCCTGTTCCAGACCGTCGTCCTATCCGCGGTCACGAGGGAGGATTCGTGTATCCCGCCTTCTTTCTCCGGCCGCGAGGTCTATCACACCCAATGTCCCCCGCTCAGCCCGAAAGGGCGATCGATCGGGAAGAGCGTCAGGCCCTAGTGAGTTGCTTTGCTTTTCTCTTCCTTTCTTCTCCCCGTTGCTTGCTTTTTCCCCTCAAATCTTCCTGTTTGCCCCGCTCATGTCCAACGCGCCTTACCCCTCCTTGGTGTCCGCGCTGCTTCGTACATAAACCTGTTATATCTCTTTGTTTGCCATGGTTCCGGGTCTGTCATGCTTGCGCTCAATGCCAATGTGCCATGACCCTTCTGGCTACCAACTGCTTGCTCGTAATTGTTTCCACATGGGAATTAAACGGATTGACTAATCAGATTCTGGTCTCTCTTAATCCTTGTAGCGTGCCATTCGCAACTTCCTCAAAGTCCGTACCAGCTATGATGTCCTTCCACTCAGTTTTCGACTTATCATGTTCGATACGTCGCTGTCCGTCAAGGAGAGCTTGAATATCCTCATACAGAACGGCATGTCTCCCACCCGCTCCCCGCGGCTCCGCGGGCTATGCGCACCGCGAATGCAATCTCGCTGACTGGAAAGGATGCACAATATAGGTATCGTTTCGGCTCCGTTATGGGACTCTACATCCTCGACCTTTGCTGGTCTTCTCACCACATCCGACTACATCAATGTTATTCAGTACTACTATCAGAACCCCGAGGCTCTGAATCAGATCGATCAATTCCGCTTGGATAGTCTACGAGGTGCGTCTGGCGCTTTTTCAGAGGGGACACACAAGCTGACATTCCATTCTAGAGGTCGAAAAGGCGCTCCATGTGGCGCCTCCCGAAACGATATCTATTGACCCAGAGCGGCCGCTCTACGAGGCCTGTCGGCGCATGCTCGAGTCTCGCGCCAGGAGGATTCCTTTGGTTACTTTTGACAGTCAGACCGATCGAGCTCTCGTTCTGAGTGTTCTCACCCAGTACCGCATCTTGAAGTTCGTCGCCGTCAACGTCAACGACACGCAGAAGTTACGGAAACCCCTTGGTGAGATCTTGCTGGGCTCGTATCACAATATAGCAGTCGCATCGATGGATACACCTGTCATTGACGTGATTCACATTCTCGTCTCACGGAGCATATCAAGTGTCCCCATTATCAATACTGAAGGTAGGCGATACTACGTTGGAGCGCGCATGAATGTGTACTGATTGCGTGATTTTCGCAGGTGTTGTGTACAACGTCTTTGAGGCTGTCGACGTGATAACGCTGATCAAAGGAGGTGTCTATGATGATTTGAGTTTAACGGTGGGCGAGGCATTAAAGAAGCGATCTCCGGTATGTTGGATCTATCACACAAGAGTTTCCTAGTACATTTGACTCATTACTCCAGGACTTCCCCGGTATCTATACATGCTCCCTGAACGATGGTCTGGATACCATTTTCGACACGATTCGCAAATCCCGTGTACACCGCCTGGTTGTGGTGGACGACAACTTCCGGCTAAAGGGTGTCCTGACCTTGAGTGATATTCTCCAGTACATCCTTTTGGAGGGTGAAAATGACGAGTCATCATGAACAATGTATTTGCGCCTTGTCGCGCTGCTACGCATACTTACAACTTGCATGGAAAGGCGTTTTTGCGTGCTAGTGTCGGTTCCCGGGCCTCCTTGGTTGGCAACGGTAGCCCACTCGCACGTTATTGACTTGATTATACGGTTCTACCCCCTTATATTGCTTCTTGGTATTTGAGCACTTGGGCTTTTGTCCGTCTTGTTTGAAATGCAAAAGTAGACGGTACTTTATGGCGCAACGGTCTATATCCCGGTTACAAAGGCACTCGTGTACACAATACATCTAGACATTGTCATTGAACTTCAGTTGTAGAAATAGCCCGCTCAGCGTGAGAAGTTGATTGTTACTTGTGAGCGTGGCGGTTGCAGTTGTAATAGCAAGCAACCATGGACTTTTGTTATTGAACGGCAAAGCTTTGTTTCTCAATCTTTAGCGTTGTATATTCCCTGTTCAAGCTGCGTGAATTACATTCACGTGTATGGACTCATGTTCCGGACAGCCCGGTCAATCCGGCCATTCGCTAAGTCTGCCTGGTGAATGAAGCCTTTTTCGCCAGTTCTTAGTATCACTGGACAAAAGAGGAAAGAACGATCCTGACATTGACATAACATACTCCCAGGCCATGCCACACCGAGCACTCCCCTCTATAACGATTGTTGCATCTTCCGTCTCTAGCATACCTAACCACTTGCGCAGCGTCTAGTGCAGCAATGGATACCTTGGAAAGTACCAGAGACAGCTTGAAACGATCCATGGACCAAAGGCTATCACTTTCTGTGCCCTTTTCGTCGGTGAACGCCGGGCTAGCTGCCTCTCTCGGGTCAAGAGACATAGCAAAGCACCACGATAGTAGGAGGAATACAATTTTATTGCCAAAGGATGTGGCAGCCCCAAAGAGACACGCCTTGGAGATAAGCTCAGGAGACAAAGGTTCCAAACTGAATGGGTTCAAGACGCTGTTTCGCTCACGCAAGTCGCAGCATCTTCGACTCGAATCAGGGTCGTCTGGTCTGTCTGCAAAGCCCATTATAGTGGTGGAAGAGGGATGTAATGAGAATCATTCTACGGCTACTGGCCATGAAGAGAATCGGCAGTCCGTCGGGCTTCAGGTGACTCAGTCCAGCGACCTTTTGAATGGAGATGCCGATAGAAAGGTCAGTGACAAGACGGTGTACTCGCTCAGCTCAGATCTAACTAGTGTGACTGTCTGCCATGATCCGTCGAAGCACAAATCCATGCCTATTGCCTTGGTTGATCAGGATTGTCTTTACCATGATCCCTATAGTGATATCCAAGAAGCGTCTCATTCTACAACACAGTCCAGTGTCAATTTCGAAGATCTGAAGGGGGCTACTTCGTACTCCAGCAGACAACATAGTTCAGAGCGCAGTAGTGCGAGTGTCTTGTCGACATGCCGCAATCGGACTCCAGAAAAGCCAGGGAATCCCTTCAGGCAGACCCGCTCCTACAGGTCACGGGGCTCATCCAGGCAGAGTTCGGACTTTGCCGCCTCGCTTGACGACAGTTACGCATTGGAACAAGGGGATCGCCACGCGGCTGTTATAGCGTTCAATGAGCTGGCCGGTAGATTGCGTCTTGAGCCGCTGGAGGTCGACGACACGCATGGTGCTCACGGGGGTGCTGAATGGGGTCAGGTGTCAGGTTTGTGTGCCCCAGAGCCAGAGATCGACAGGTGATATACCAGACATCCCAGTTTCTGACGACATAGTAGCTGAACGATCTCCTGATAGTCGTCTATCCCATACAGCCACCGGTGACGATCCTCCCAGACGTCGGGATAAGTTCTATGGACGCATACGAACCATGCGGTCGACCCTCCAGCTTGGATCGTCAGACGCACCCCGCAAAAGAACCTTGCGTCGGATGAGGACGTTCGCCAGCCTTTCGCGCCGATCGGCCGATATGACTTCATTGAAGGGCAAACCCCTGGAAGACCTGGCTCGACTGGGGGGCTACAATCTGCTCACTCTTCCGGCCGACTTTGCGCCTACGAAATTGAAGCTACCCGTATGCTTTGTGGCGATTATCACCTATCTGGGATGCTTTGGTAGGAATCCACCATGTTCCACTAGGATACTCTATCCGTCGCAGGCTATTGGTTTATTGACGTCATTTACAGCTCCTACTGTACGAAACGTCTTTGTCGACGCCGGGGATCCGAAACTAGCGGCACGGACGTACGACTACTACGCCAATCAGGTGCACTCGGTGGAAAAGCAGCAAGACAAGATCCAGATGACGGTTGCGAGTGGCACGATACCGGCGGATGTGGTGGACCCTCTGAACCGGGATGGGGATAGTGGCGACGCCATTCAAGTGTTGAGCGTGGCATGGGCGTTCAAGGCTCTTCTGTCCGGGCTCCCAGGGGGGATTCTAGGGTCGGGCCGGCTTTATCGAGTGCTGGTCCAGATTTGTCAGGGCCACCTTACGAGCGAGCCAGTGGAGCGGCGAAGAAGCTGCCTCGGGGGGGTTTCACCTCGGGGTTACGTCAAGGTCAAGGCGATGAGTCTGGCGATTCTGGCGCTCAGCGACTCGATGCAGCTGAACCTGATCTGTGGGGTGTTTGGACTCAGCGCGCTCTTGCTGCATGAGACGCAGCGGCTGATGGAGCTGGAACGCCAGGGCTTTCGGGGCAGCGTCTGCCGGGCCAGTATTGGGTCGGGGCTGCTGAACCTAGACCGACTGAGTGGAGTGCTGGCGCCACTACTGACGGAAGGCGAGGGGGAGGAGAATCCTGAGGATGCATTCCGGGCCATTCAGCGCGAGATTGAAAGCCAGCGGGTTGCAGCGATGCTGATCGGGAATTGGCGAGGGGTGAGTCGACAATTGCGGATCTGGGAGCATCGGGGGGCCATTGCGCATCACCATGGATTCTCGCGAACGTTTAGCGGGTCGGCGGAGGTGTGAGGATGAGGCCAAGATGAACCAGCATGGTGGTGTATCCTGGTGTATGCGAGAGTACTTTGTGTAGAGTTTGAAGAGGAATCGGGAATAGCAAGGAAAAGAGAAGAAGAGAAGAGGGGGGAGGGGGGGAAGGAAAGCAGGAAAGGAGGTGGATGATAGATAGTACGACGGGGGCAATGGAGCACAGGCCCAGCGGAGCCCGAGGCAGCATCCGGTTCTGGGAGCAGGAAGAGTGGAGAGAGCGGAGCCCATGTAGGGTCGGCGATAGCAAGAATTGAGATGTGATTGCTGGGCCCCGACGGGAGGATTGGAGCAATCATGAAGCAGCATGGCGACCGTTTAGACGGGGCGGCAGGAACCTGAAAGGATCCCTGTTAGCAGTGCATAAGCCTCCGAATGGGGGATGATTGGCGGGGACTGGATGTCGTGGCCGTAAGAGGACTGACCTTTTACCGGATGCATCGAGTGTGCAGTACTTAGTATACTCTGTAGTATGTATGGAGTAGTAATAATGAGTATACTACACATCCCAAAATTTTAGAGTAAAAGTTCGTAGTGATAGGTATATCCTTGTACTTAATTCGTATATCTCTATATCTCACGCCCCAAAAAAGAAAGTGGGGCAAAACAGGATATCAGCAGCAGCAAAGAAAGAAAAAATCAAACAAACAATGAAAGCAAAATATCCCCCGACCCTGACCTGAACCAGAACATGAAACAGGCAAACACCAGGCAGTAGGCAGATAGACTGTTAGCCTAGTCTACTTAGTAGGTACACGGTAGGTGAAGGTAAGTCTAGCATAGCCCACCCCACCAAGAATGTATCCAGAACTAATTAATTCCTTGGAACATAGAAAGCGAAGCGGTCGAGCGGGTCTACAAGCCGGCGACATGATCCGTACCAGAAGATAGTCGTTAACTAAATCACTCACTCAGTCATACTAGAGAAGTGAAAGACTGGAACGGGATGGATAAAATGAACGGATGAATGATTGAATCAGAATTAATAGGGAAGGCGGAAAAGGTCGTCAATTGCTGAATCTAGAACCAGTGGTTCGAGTTGTCCATTCCGGGGTTGAGAGAAAGGGCGGATGAGAATTGAATGCGCAATACATAATTGATTGATAGGATAGGGATGGATGTTGGGGGGAAAGGCGGGAAGTGTATTATATTACAATTGAACTTACTTAGTAGGTAGGATGGTGATGGGATGGTTGTTGATCTTTTGGTAAGTAGTTTTCTTGGATTTGATTAGGAACGTGAGCATTTACTGTGTGGTAGTGGTAGTAGTGGTAGTAGTGGTAGTAGTAGTAGTAGTAGTAGTAGTAGTAGTAGTAGTAGTAGTAGTAGTAGTAGATGATGTGGAGTGAGGTGGTTGGGATAATACTATCTACATTGTATGAGCTATGAAGGCTGGTTGGTTAGAACTAATAGCTGAAGCTCGTCGATCGGTGGATCGTGGTTCGTTGGAGGGAAAAGCCGGGCCGTGGGGACATAACTTACTAAGTTACTTAGACTGAAGTACTTAACGGAGGAAGTACTTTATTTGTGACTTGATCATCAAAGTACTACTACTACTTACTACGTAGATAAACATGTATGTATGTAGTATCTCGGTTAATTGTGTGCAATGCATGTACGCAGTGTATTTTCAAGGAATATATCATGATTCGGGAGTTGGTTACGCGTCCATACCAGTTTCAATCCTTATTGAGTGGATTAGTGGTTGTATTTCTAGAAGGGTATTTATTTTGTTATTTTTTTTATTGTTAATTTGTCGAACTAACAACTTGGCATCTTGTCATTTGATTTATTTGATAATCTTTATTGTTGAGAGGGCCGTTGGGTTGAATAGTTCTGGCTAGCCCTGGAAGGGGGATCCGTAGGTCGAGAGGGAAAAGGGTACATAGTAAATACTTAGGATAATTTATCTGATGCAGCGTGATGAGAAGAGTGAATTGATTTTCATGGGACTTGAATCATGCCAGCTGGCAGGGAAGTACTGTCAGTACTAGAATATTAGTTCACAACTTACCCGGGGAGAAACAGCTCATGTGGATCCTTTCCAACTTGAACTACTTGTCTACATAGTACAGAATACTGCTGCTATGTTATGTACTCTAGCATATAGATATATCAACTATTAAGTATGGTATGTGGATAAGTGGCTCTCTCTCCGATCAAGGAACCGGGAGGAAAACCGGAAATCGAGACCAATTCTTTATATTCCATGCTACTTGTAAGTACTTAACCACTACTTGCTGCATTTGGGGAATCCGCCAACAAAGTTTGATGGGGGAAGAAGAGAAATGCCAACTACGCCCGCCCGTCGGGAACTTCAAACCGCCAATCAGCATGAGGAACGGCACTACTTGGCTTTCCCTGAAACCGGGACAATCCACCCTCGTTTTTTCTTTTTCTTTTCTTTCCCTCTTGTCGGGTCTGTCATGGATGAGGGAAATAAATCAAGTCCGAAAGTAACTGAATGACTCATTGAAGAAAAATATAATATTTACTTAGTTGAGTGAGTTCCCGTCCATTTCAATTATGAGTAGTAGATTTTCCTCCTGGGCTGTGTAGGAAATCATTTGCTGGTGGAACCGGACGGGGAAGACGGAACCCCCGTTCGTTTCTTAAGGTCCAGGGTTAGGGTGAGTGGGTTGTTTTGCCCTCCCATGCCATGAATGGATGACGTTTGAGGAGGATGATCAAATCAGACAGCAACACCCTTTGGTTATTTTCCTTCTTTTAAGGTTCTCGGATTCGGAAAACTGTCGGCGGAGAAGCACAGATGATGTGGGCTGATCTGGTAGTTGTTGGTTGTTTGGAGTTATCTCAGTCAGTACATACTTGGGATGGGCTATCTTTGATGGTGTTCCAAGTTTATCTGGGGTATAGAAAGAGACTAAGGTAGCTGTGCCACTAGTTCCCCTTTAGTTGAAAACATTCTAGTAAACTAGTACCAGAGCTCTTGAAGGGAACCCTACTTACTCGACAGGTACTAGATAGTATTACTACTAGCATTGATTCTAGATGCAAAGTACATTTGCAAGTCCAGCTGGCATGGCTGGCATGGCTGGCATCTGTCATGCCCACCAAGTGCGTAATCGTGCAGCTTCGGCTGAATGAGGGATCTTGTCCTGCCCCTGATCGTCGCAGCTTTTTCCTTCCTTATTTTCTCGTTCTTTCTCGCATGCTCTCTCTCTCTCTCCCTCATCGTGGAGACCGGAGAAGTCTCCAGATCTCTTGTTCCAATAATGATGTCAACCTTGCCGGTTCTGGCCAGGTCTAGTTCGTCCAGTGGATGCCCTCTCTTGGCTTCCCGACGCCGGAACTGCGACTGACCCAATCATCAAGCCATAATAATCATAACTCTCTCCCAGCTGCTTCGGGGAGTTGAAGCTTCATAGTCTGTCATCTGTTTCTCCTCCCCTCTCAATACATCACTGTTTATTGCTCACGGCTCACTTGACTTTTCCCATCCAAAGGTTTGTGTGTTGTTGGTTCCTTCTACCACCATCAACTACTACAAGGTACAAACAACACCAACAACTACTACTACTTCTTGATATTCTCTACTCTATCCTCCCCGACCTCATCATCCACACACACAACATCCCAATTCCCTGCCACTTGCGCAACCACTTGGGAGATTCCTGTTGGTGAGTAAGAAAGTCCTCGTCTCTCTCTTCTCTTCCATCCAATCCTCATCCTTTCCTCTGCTTGTCATCTCCTCAACTCGTTTCATCTTCTTTCTTGTCTCCCAACCCTAGCCTTGTCCTCCCCTCGTATCACTCTCCCACATTGACTTCGATCCGGATTTCCCCTCCTTCTCTTTCTTTCCGTGGTACTCTCTCCCTCTCTCCCTCTCTCTTTCCTTTTCCCTCTCACTCTTCCTCTCCTATCGCTTTCCTTCCTCTCTGTCCCTCTCCCTCACTTCCTCTCACTCACCCTCTCTTTTAACTCTGCCGGCTCTTCCGTTCCGTGGACCTCTCCGTTACATTCCCACCTTAACCCCTCCTCTGCCCTTGACACCCCCCCCCCCCATTTCTGATTCTGGATCTCCTGCAGATTCATTGCCTGACGAAAGCTCTCTTCCAGCTCCACTCTGGTCTCGCCCGGTTCCCTGATTTTCCTGGTCCAGGTTCCGCTGCTGGCTCCAGAAGGACCCCTACTGCCAGCCCCCGTTCTGGACACACAACACACCCGGTCTCTCTCTCTCTCTCTTTCTCTCTCCAACAACTCATACCCCCACTTTGATCCTGTCGGGATATATTCTCCTGGCCAACCTTCCTTCTGAACCGGTTGGAGCTCTCCAGCTTTTTACCTTCCCGCTTGTTCTTGACTTGTCAGTGCATTGTTCATCCTTTGTTGCTTTCTCTCCCGCCCCTCGCAACCGTGGTAGCTGCCTACCATCACTCGTACCTGCCGTGGTCATCTTCCCCTCGGTCACACTGGTTTGCTCCTGGGCTCGACAAGATCCCAGGACCTCTGTTCCAGGTGCCAGACTGTGCCTTTAAGCCGCTCTGCTCACTGCTTCCGGTCTTCTCTGGCATCGCGCGCCGGAGCTTTAAATACCTTCTATTCGCCTGCCCGTCCGTCGCCACAACCATACTCCTCTACCTTTCAATAGCTAGTTCTCTCTATCTCTCCCTCTCCTCCTAATATCAATTTCGATCTTCTCTACAATCTGCTCAGGCGGCTCTGCCCTGCCCTCCTGGTTAGTCTAGATCAGGCTCACTCTCTCAACATGGCGACTCAGGCCTCTTTCGGCCAGCCTGTTGTTCCTGGCGAGGCCGTCGTGTCCAACGAAGCGGTTATGCCTGGTGCCGTTAGCGCGGCTCCTTCTCACTTCACCGTCTCTAATTCCTACATGGCGACCGACATCCTTTCCATGTCTTACCCAGCCGGGAACGATCAGACTCTCTTCGGTTTCAGCCCAGTTTCTCCTTCGCTACCGAGCTGGTCGGCGAAACATGACCCGCAGGTTTTCACCAATCCGGGTTTTGAGCGAGGCCTGAAGAACTCGCATGTCCGCAACGGTCAACCCACGCCCCCTCCATATGACGACAAGAAACTCAATTCGGTCGACCAATTCTATTCCTTGTCTCATCTCCAGTCGTACGACGGGGCTGCTGTCTATTCCAACCCAACTCCCCGTGCAAGCTTCAGTCAATCGGCTGCTTCGGACGTGCGTCAACCAGCGCCCAGGCGTCGCAAGACTAATGGCACACACAACTCGTCTTCCCCCGATGCCGATGACAAGCTGAGCGAGAAAGCGAAGCGTGAGAAATTCCTGGAGCGCAATCGGCTGGCAGCGAGCAAGTGTCGCCAGAAGAAGAAGAGGCAGACGGAGGATCTCCGCGAGCTATTCAAGAGTCTCTCCAACAGGAAGGATTTCCTGACCCGTCAAATTGACGCCCTACGCAGCGAGATCCTCATGTTCAAAAATTACTTACTCGAGCATGCCCAGTGCAATGATGAGGCTATTCAATTGCACCTCAGCACCATGGTGAAGAACATTACCCAGCAGGACTCACTCGGGGCGTCCGATTTGAAAACGGACCTGAATGCTCTGACCCCGTCGAGCTCGAGTAGGACGACCCGCTCGCAGGACCTCTCCTTTGGCTTTGATAGCCCCATTCAGATTCCCTCAAAGATGGGCTCCCTAGAACCCACTCCTCGCCGAGACTCAGAGCAGACCCTCGCGAGTGACGCGTCCTTCTCCTTCTCGACTCCCAACAATGACGGTTTCGAGGATTTGCTCGATGTCTAGAACCATCTTCTATATCCATCATTCTCTATACATTGTTCAACACCATCTCAGGGCTCAATGGCGGCTGGTGTCGTCTTATTCTGTGTTTTATCATGAGCCCTCGATGGCTGACATGACTGGCGACTGCATGACGGCGTTTTTTTCTTCTTGCTAACTCCCCCAACAAAAAAGCACGTGGATTGGGCGGGACTTTGTGATTACTGTTCAAGGTAATATTCTTGTTATTCTCGCTCAGGTAGCTGGCGACTGTGGCGATTTTATAGTTAGGTAGGTTTGCTGTATGGTTTCGAAACCAACTTGCCGGAGGGGGCGTTTTCTTTTTGGGAAGTGGTTGGGCAAAGGAACACGAATTGCTACGATGATACGAATGTACGCTAGTTGCTGTGTGGGTTCCTGGTAGCTAATCATAATCAATATTTAGCTTACTCTGAGATTCTCTAGTTACTAAACACCGTATAGTCATATAGAGTAGCAGCAGTAGTAGTATATAAATGGTCTCTCACATGACTGGCAGACCATGTACAGTAGATCGATGGTTCTATCTCCACTTGGGACTAGTTTCCGCATTAGACTAGTTTCATGCATACTTAACCATCGGAGTAGTCTAGATCAATCTACAGGTAGTATTCAGTTCCGTTCATTTATCAATCATCATATTTCGTTCTGCTATAAGATACTCTACCGCAGCTGATATATCTCGTATCAACACTTGTAAGAATATAATCAATCCATATTCTACCATCTAACTCTATGATTAAACCATCCACACATGAACATATATAGATATATATATATATATAGAAGTGAAAGATAGATAACTAAACCTCCACTCTCTCCTCACTCGTCTTCGCCCCCGCATCATCATCAGAAACAATCCCATCCTGTTCATATTCACGGTCTATCTCATGTTCCTGTTCCTGTTCCCCGACCAGCAGGGCAGACGAGAGCGAATCATCATGATGAAGTTTATCCTCCTCATCTCCGAAAAGCGCATCGATCTCTTCGAGAGATCTCCCGCGTGTCTCCGGGAGAAAGAACCAGACGAAGACGGCGAAGCTGGCGTCTAAGATCCCGAAGATCAAGAAAGTGGCCCATTTAGCGCCGGCGAGGACGTACGGGGTCGAGAATGACCAGACGAAGTTGGAGAGCCATTGGGCGGCGACGCCGATGGCGACGCCTGGTTCGCGGATGCGGGTGTTGAAGAGTTCGGCGGTGCAGGGCCAGGGGAGGGGACCCCAGGAGAGGTTGTAGAAGACGATGGCGAGGTAGATGAGGGAGACGGTGAGGAGGCCGCTGTTGGTCATGGTGGGGGTGGTGTTGGAGGGGTTATTTGTGGATGGGTGGGGGGTGGGGACGTTGGTGGATTTTACGACCACTGAGGTGGTTATCATGCAGATGGACATGGCGAGTGCGCCGAGGATGAGTAGTGGTCGGCGGCCGAATCGGTCGGCGACCCATACGATGAAGATGAGGCAGCCGACCACTTTTAGGCCGCCGAAGATGCCGGTTAGGAGGAGGGTCAGGTGGGCGTTGTTGCCTACGAGGAGGGCGAAGAATTGCGGACCGAAGTAGGCGAGCGCCGTTGGCCCCATGGATTGTTGGGCTATGAATAGGCAGACGGCTAGAGCGAGTCGGTGGCTGTTGGACTTGCTGAGGAGTTCTTTCGGGGAGAAGTCGGCGGTTGCGTGTGCGTCACGCTCGATGCTGGATTTCATTTGTTGGTACTCGGCGCGCACGTGTGGTCCATTTGATGAGCGGATCCAGGTTAGGCTGTCCCAGGCTTTGGACTCGTTCTTGTCGTGGTCGTGGGAGAGGAGCCATCGCACGCTTTCGCGGAGCGTGAGCATCCCCAACCCCATTAATGCGCCGGGGATCAGCTGCACGGCGAATGGAATCTGCCATTGCAGGGCATTGGCGGGAGCGAATTGCATGCCATAGTCGATCCAGTAGGAGACGAGAATGCCGATGGTGAAGGCGAACTGATAGCAGCTTCCGAGCCGGGCGCGCTTGTCGGTGGGACTCATTTCCGAGAGATAGATGGGGATGACGGTTGCGGAGCCGCCGATCCCCAGTCCGCAGATGACGCGGCCCACGTAGAAGACGGATAGCGAGTGGGTATCGAGCAGCTCGAAGATGACCCCCGTGCAGAAGATGAGGGAGCAGACAGCCATGGCCGGGCGACGGCCAAGACGGTTTGTGAAAGGCCATATAAGCAGACAGCCAAGTAGCGCAGAGGCTTGCTGGACGCCGACTGCAATAGCGCTAACTCGTGTCTCATCGGCGGCGGTATACCGAAAGGAGCGATGGAAGGATTCGAAGGTGAGAACTCCGCCTGGAATTGAATGATGAGCATGGTGTGCGGTGAGTCTTCAGGAGACTACATACCAATCACACCCGAGTCATAGCCGAAGAGAAGGCCGCCGCAGCAGACGATTGCCGTGAGCCAGTAAAGGCGAAAGGCGCTCTGGTTGCCGGACGGCGGTGGATCATGATGGCTGGGATCTTGGAGATCAGCATCCTGGGGGAGTTCGGAGTAGGGCCTCATTGTGGGCCATGTCGCGAGGGAGAGAATGCGACAGCCACAATGGGGAGAGAGATGCAGGACAGCAGACGAAAAGGAGAGGAGGGGAAGTGAAGATGAAAAGTAAGGAAGTAAATACAGGCCGATGGAGACTGGCGGGGAGTCAGATGACGTGCGATTACGTGGTCAGGAGATCTGCGACGCGTTTCGAGTTGATGTTCATCCACTCCGGAGTCTCCTGCAAACCTCCCGATGTCCACTTGGTCTCTCCTACGGCTACTTACTGTCTTCTAGATCATGACGAAGAAATCAGTAAATAGCTCCCGCCGCACGCACCGCGAGTCTGCCCAGGTGCGCGACGCATCTTGTCGTCGCGTCATCTCCTCCAGCAGGAGCAATGCTTTCCCCGCATGCGGATGTCGCGCCGTACGGGAGCTTCCACGGATACGCTCGGGATCCTGACAGCGACTACTACAGCTGCCAGTGATCCGCTGCATCTCTTTCACAATCCATCTTCGCTGCTCCATCGATCCCTCAAGACCGGCCACAAATAACGGCCATACAAAGCTGGCGGGCAGATGTTGCTGGTCGCTTCCAGACTCCACCTCAGCGGTTGCCAACTGGATAATCCGATCCACTGCGCGGTGCACTCGGTCAGTCCGAGGGTAGATGGCGAACGCGACCCTGTGTAGGTAGATAAAAATCGCTAGAAAGTTGGCGATGTACTGTCGGAACGTCCGGCAAATTTCGATCGCGATAGCAGGCTGTAGCGTATCGAAGAGGTCCTCGGGCGTACTGTAGACGTCCAGCACGCGTGGACGCCGATTCCAGAGCGTCTCGAGATCGGCCCCGACCTGGTGTGCTATCTGAAGCACCTCAAACTCATCACTGACAGTCCCGCGACTGCGGTGATGCAAGTCGATGCACACGATTCGTCGGATGACCTGTTGCGTTTGTAGGAAGAAGCGAAAGGCCGGGCCCGTGATGGCTTCACGCATAAGGTATGCGGGTTTCGGTGGCTCCTCGTCGCTGCTGTTGTCGAACAATTTGTCTTCCATGGCTAGTTCAGACGTAGTGTTTGCCTTGGATGAAAGGCTGCCCAAATCAATTAGCGGATCGCCATCACGGCCAGCTATCAGCGCTTTAACATCCAGCAATGACACCCACGACACAATAACACTGCTCACACCGGTCCACAACTTGGTTCGGTGGTGAAACCGCTGCAGCAGGAGATATGCAGAGTGGAGAAAGGACGTTCTTGAGCCCCATAGATCAGGGGTAGAAAGGAGCTGTTTCGTCAGCTCTTTAGATAAAGTCAAGTAATCAGAGCGAACCTTGAGACGCTCACCTCCGCCAGCATCAACAATAACACTGTAGTAAACACTCTTTTCAGTACCGTCTCCTCTACTTCTCCCAGCAAGCACGACTGAACCTCTGAACACGCCAGCTGATGATACCTCGACGCCAGTTTCCACGCTTTCCCCTCAACCAATGCCTCATGTATCTCCGCGTAGCAGTAAATCCCATGTAAGACCGCCCGACTATCGCGCGATTGTGCGACAACATTAGCACGCACATACTCCCATTCCAAATCCACTGGCCCAAATATCGTAGGCGGCGGGTCCCCTTCCACGAAATGTGCAAACAACCGATCCTCATACGTCAGCCGACCATTACCACTACTACTACCACCGCTTGTATCCGAAGCAGACCCCAACTCTGAACGATCACCGTGGATGACTGAAACTGAACCCGCGTCCCAACTGATCGGCCGTTCATTCTGATCGAGTTCCTCGTTCGCGATCGCCGCCGGAACCGAACCCGCTGGGAACCCCGCCAGTCCGTTCGTCGTCAAGTCGAGGTGTTTCTGCTGAAAGTCGGAGGTGATCTCGCCGATGAAACTAAGAATATCGAACGAGGTGATATTATCCGCACCTAGGGGTTGCTGGTGTTGTTGTGAAGGGCGACTGCTGGGACCCGCCTGCTGCGGGGATCCTGAATTCGATGCTGAGAGTCGGTCATTGCAGAGGACGGTGTGGAAGAAGTTCACGTCTGGACGGTCGGATGAGGTGGTGCTAGCGGTGCTGGTGGGGGCTGATGCTGCGCTCGCGACTGTTCCTGAGCTCTGGCTGTTATGCCGTTGTCGCGGGATGACCGTTTGAATGGTGCTTTTGTAGGTGCATTGCAGTCGAAGGCGCGTGCAATTGGCACACGTGGGTTTGGTCTCGTCGCAACGGACTTTACGTGCCCGGCAGGTCAGACAGCCCGTGCGGCGTCGGGGTCCTGATCGGCCCATTCCGCGAGCTCGAGGAGCCTTGCGCTCGGTTAGCAGGTGCATTTTCTAGGTGTATCAAGGGTTTGGGGATGCGAGATTACCTCCATGATGGGTGTGGGGAAGACATGGTTGAAGGAGGAGCTGCGCAGCTGAGATGGTGTGATTGTTGGGGGGAATCAGGAACGAGATCATGCTCGGCTCCCCGCAGCGGTCCGCCCTGTCTTATATTTGTAGTGGTCTGCATACTGTAAACTCTGCCAGGAACAGCTACGTCAGAAAGCATATTTGATTCATAACTCATGACACTACATGCACTCTATCTCATTATGCGCTCCGGATGATGACATCCTGCGGGTCAGGGACGATCCGTTTCTTGTCTCCCCCAAAACACTTGGATGTATGCAGCAAGTGTCCCCGTTCCTTCCGCACATACGTTGCAAAACATATAGCAGCCAGCGCAATGCCCCCGTAGCTGATGAATACTGGGTACTTGAATTGTTCGGGAAGAGGGAATGCAATGGTCGTTGCAAAGGACAGGAGCTCAAAGATGTTTTGGAGAGCCATTTCTGTGGATGAGAACCGCGCGCGAGCACGTTCGTCCACACCCTATCATAGTAAGAGCTTGATCATTTGGCACAGTTCGAATAGCAAGACTTACCTCTTGAACTAGGAATTGCACCGACAGGTCAAAGCCCCAGAGTCCGATTCGACTGAGAGCTACGCCGACGATCAGGCTGACGGCAACCACTTGAGACTGATTGTCGAGGAAAGCAAAGGCCGCCACAGCAGCCGCGAGACAGGCAAACTGCCAGTTGAGGAACCACAGGCCTGACCGGATAGGCCCAATCCTACCCATAATAAAGGGGGCCGCCCATGTCCCTGACAGCTCTGCAACAACAGCGCCAATCCTCATCCCGCTGACCTGCAGCGGAGTGAACCCCGTGTGTAGCAGATACGTTACCATGGTAGTGCCGAAGGAGAGCACCGTGAGGTAAAGTAAGCTCAAGGCAAGAGATGCCAGGAATACAGAGCTAGCCACATACTCTCGCCACGGAGCAAGAGCCCTTCTGCTATACTGCGCTATCCGACGAGCTGCGGTCGGAGTACAGTCGCTATCCTGTGGCTCGAGCCCAGATTGACCTTCGATCTCACTGCTTCCATCCTGACAACGCTTAAGTTCGGGAATGGACGTATACACCTAAACACGGTAAGTATACGGTAGTCTTCAGCCTCTGGGAATAGTACCTGAGCAATTGCAATGTACTCAACGACGACACAGGAAACATTCACAGCCAAGACCGTCCATATGGCTATCTTGGTCGACAATCCGTCAACCACGGAGATGACCACCGGAGCTAAGAGTTTGCAAAACAAATCTATCCGTCTCATAGAAGCATTGAGGTCTGTTCAATTAGTCTTGTGTATAACTCGCAATAAGTCATAACATACCTTGTCGAGGGATATCCAAAGCATCCGACACAACAATGGCCTTTCAAATTAGCCAAATATCATAGCACAAGAATAGCAACCTACCCAATCTCTCTCCACAGCAACACAATTCGCAGTAGCAGCGAGCTTCTCCACGCAAGCCAGCAAAACAGTGACTGCAAACACAAGCGAGGTAAATACCGTAGTAGACGGCGCCAGGAGAATCGTAAAGCATGCGCAGGAAGCAGCCACAGGGAGTCTCTGCCATACTATACGATGTCAGTCCATAATAACACATCCTATCTACTACTCTCACATACTAATGGAATGCCGAATCGCTCTCAACCTATTCGCCCGGTCCACCACCGATCCCAACCACGAGGACAGGACCACAGCAGCCAGCGATCGCACCAAAGCATAAACCGAAGCATACCGCAGTGTTCCCGGAAAGATAGTGGCCAGGAACAAGACGGCCCCAAACTCAAACATCCGCGAGTTCCATGTTGAGAGAAAATGGGAAATATACAACCGAAACAGAATTCGGGTTGGGTTCTGAGGCACTGGGGACCCGGGGGCCGAGGGTCGGGGTAGAAATGGCTCTGCCGGGTCTTGCGAATCGCAAGATGTTCGGGGCTCTGTGTGAGCGTGGAGTAAAGGTGATTCTGCCATGATGGGGCTTTTGTTTGATACTTAGATTCCCGAAATTTGCATGTTTGGAGGATGGATTTGGAGTTGGTGTGAAGACGGGGAATTAATTCATGATTGCCGGCCGAAAGGGACCGACGGATACTTTAGTTATGGATGGATGCTTGGGCTGGTGCGGAGCCGAGTGGGCTGAGTTGAATGCCTTCACCTCTTTCGGTAAGGAGGTACTCTGGGCATATCCCCACCAATTGTGTTGGCTTTGTATACTATTACCACTATCAGGGAGTATAACAAATGAGTGGTTTCATCCATTCTTCAGATAGCAGAAGTGGCTGGGTGGCAGATAATTCCGTTATGAGAGCATGCTATTATCCTACCCTTCCCCGGATTATCAAGATCCCATCGTATGCCAGGAAATGCTTAAAGTCACCGTAGAGAACCCAGAAGTCTCGACAAATCTTCATGGAGGAGTAGTGTCTCAATATGCACTTCTTAGGGACTTACGGGCTACGGGCAACATGATGAACGCATATAAATACGAATATCATACTGTTGGATACAAGCCATGTTAGGCTGGAAAAAGGACCGTTGCTTGCGTGTCTAACTTTATATGAAATACATGTTGATAATATTAACCCAATATACAGACCCAACGAACACAACAACAGGAACAAATGGACTCCTTAACATTCTGATGTTCTTTTTCTCTTTCGCCAAAGAAATCAGTTCACCCATTCAAGACCATCCTCGCCCTGGACAGTCCGTCTGGCCAGGACTTCAGCGGCCTTCTCCTTCACACCCTCTTTGCTGTCAAAGTTCGCAACAATATCGTTGAGGGTCACTTTCTCCTTTCTTCCACGGTGACGCACGAAAGCCTCAATTCTGCTTTCGCTAGGCAACCCGAACTTGTAGGGATATTGGGTGTACGGGGACTTGTAGTGGTAGAGACTCAGCCGGGATTCAGGCCCCGACTCAGACTCGGAAATCTCGAAGAATTTGTCGACAGTCTCGGTCGAGACCTCCTCCAGAGTCGCCGGCTGCCAGGTGGCCTGGCGGGGAGGCTTCGACATCAGGCGGGCCTTCACGCCCTCCACAAAGTCGGGGTGTCTCATGAACTTGGAGGCGATGGCGTGCTCACGCTGGAAGGTCTCGGAGATGGTCCACTCGCGGCCGACACGCAGCTGGCGCAGGGCAACCTTGAGCGAGGTGGGTGACCGCGCCGACAGGGTCTCCAGGGTCTTCTCGGCCCACGACTTCATCTCCGTTTCCTTCTGCAGCGCCTGGATGATCTCCTCCACCGTGTTGTACTGGAAGCAGCGGTCAATAGCACTGCGCAGCTTGCCAGCCAATTGGATAGGCTCCTCGCGCACGGACGGCACACCTGTCGAGAATTCGGCCATGGTTTTGTTGACAAGAGCGAGACGTTCCTGGAATGTGGAGTAGTCACGGAAGACGAGCTCAGACAGACGAGCCGTCAGGTTAGCCAGCGCGCTGGAGTGCAGGTAGTGCGTGGCAACACCAGCATACAGAGCCTGAACGCCGTGAAGTCGCTCCGAGGTAAGGGCCAGGTATGTCCCGAGCTGTCCATCGAGACGGGACAGGAAGAAGGAGCCGCCAACATCCGGGAAGAAGCCAATGGTGGTCTCGGGCATGGCAAACACAGTGCGTTCAGTGGCGATCCGGAAGGGAGCGTGGACACTGAGACCGACACCGCCGCCCATGGTGATACCATCCATCACGGAGACGAAGGGCTTCTGGTAGGTCGCGATGAGGTGATCGAGACGATATTCGTCGGCGAAGAAGTCGGAAGAGGCCTGCTGGCCCTCGGGGCCCTTTTCGTTCTGCAGAGCCAGGGCAGCCACATCTCCTCCGGCGCACAGAGCTTTCGAGCCAGCGCCAGAGAGCATGATGACATTGGCCAGGTCGGACTTTTCCCATTCCTAGAAGACACCCCAATCGCTTAGCAACAAGTCCACATGTATAATACCAGGTCATAGCCACAAGCTAACCTTCAGTCGAGGCACAATCTTCCGAACCATCGAGCCGTTCAAGGAATTGAGCTTCTTGGGGCGGTTGAGCTCAATCAAGCGCACACCGTAGTGGGAGTGGAACAGGACATCGTCGGGCTCGTCTCCGGGGAGTTCTTTGGGGATAGGTGCCGTAGACATCTGCAATCGTCAGTCAATGGGAGAGGCGAAGCATGAGATTAGAAAAGGGCGTACACTAGCCGTGGCCCCGAATGCTGGGTTGGTGACTTTGGCACGGAGAGGCATGGTAGCTGGTGAAACCCGCGAGATCCAGCTCGACGGTGTTGGAAACCGGCAAATACTGCGTCGGAGTAACATCAGGCAGACCACAGCCTGTTGTGGAGGAGGAGACGGGGTAAAGGAATGGAGGGATGAGGGGATTAAGTATGAGGATGAGCAGCTCGTCGGTTCTCCGCTTGCTTTGACCTCGGAGTTTTTCGCGGAATGATTTTCCTCGCCGGCCGCTGAAGAGGAGAACAGCCGAACGGCCGTGAGTTGAGATGTCCCACCAGGAGTACCCAGGACCTTAGTAGTGGTATATAGGGTTTTAAATTATTGATTAAGAGACTTTTGAATCATTCTGTATTATATTTGATTTATCCAGAGAATTTTTGGCTATAGTGTCGTGAAGGATCTCTGTTCGGCAACCTCGCCCTGGCATGTGCTTTCCAACTACTTACATCGGTCTCCTTCTACCAATTACCGGGCAGCTTATCGTAGGTTTCTGCTAAGAATGCCGTGACTTTCATCCTTGAAAATCCGTAATGCCATCATACATATTTCGAATCTATTTGTACAGAATAAAACACAAAACGAAGCTAACCAGTAAAAGACCCCATCGCCAGGTAAAAGAAATTTAGTACAAAGCCTTGGCCGGCTTGTTCTTCAGATCCTTGGAATGCTGAGACAGAATGCGGTCCAGCGCTTGCTTCTCAATAATCAAGCGTCCAGTCTCCAACAGGTCCTTCACATCCACGTCACGGCGGTCCAGGATCTTCGCATGTTCACCCACTTGACGCACGGTCTCGAACAGCTCCTCGTTCGGCTGGTCCGTAATCAACGTTGACCGTCCATAGTGCCGGCCCCAGCAGTTGACCTTGAAAATCTCCTCAACGATATGGGGAGTGGCGCCCTCCGGAAGGCCGATTTCGTTGTCGACAATGATCAATTGGCCACGCTTGTAGCGGTAACTGAGGGCTATCCGCCACGCCTGGTCGTAGATCTTCTGAGGGAGCTCCGTAGAGAAGTCGCGGGGGTGAGGACCAAAAGCAACACCTCCACCTCTCCGGATCGGGGATTTCTTGTCGCCAACACGGGCCCGGCCAGTACCCTTCTGCGCATGCAACTTCCTACCACTTCCGTGCACATCATCTCTCCACTTGGTGCTTGCGGTACCTTGTCGGGTCATGTCACCCTCGTAGACAACGGCTCGGTGCAGGATGTCTTTGCGTAGCGGCATCAGGAGGTGGTTGCGAGGATACTCAACGAAGCGCAGGGGCTCCATCGAGGGGAATGAGTAGAGGGTCGCCTTGACGGGTTCGGGATTCCACACGGGCTTGGGAACCTCCCTCGTCAGGTTGTCAACGGGGGACTGGGCCTCGGTGGCCATCGAGCGGGAGAAAGACTTCGTCAGGCATCGTTGCTATAGGATCGAGGCATCAATGGTCAGTATCTCGCATTCAGCCATATGCAAAGACTAGCAGCGGAATCAAAAAAGGTCGGCCTTACCGTGGTCGTCTCAGCGCCCGAGAGGAGACTCCCTGAGCTGCGAGAGAGCAACTTGAGTGCGCGAAGAGCGTCACTTCCAGGCATTGTGAGTGAGAGTGTGTAATTAAACCCCGAGAGGTAGCCTGGATGGGGGAGGGATCTCGGTGGTGATGCTTTGGAGGAGGAGCAGCAAAAGTTCGGGTGGTCTGGCGCTAGCCGCCTGAGGCTTGGCCAACCCGACGAAAAAAGTTCCGTCCGGCCAGGAACCTCGACTTCGACTTCCCGACCAACCTGGGGAATCTCTTCCATCCACTCCACCACTTTATCCCCCCGTCCTTCCCCAGTCACTCGTCTCGCCATGGCTCATTGCGAGCGGGCCTCGAAGCCCCTGCTCCAATGCCTGCAGAAGACCTACACAAAGGGTCTTCCAGGCCTCCAGCTGCAGTCCACCCGCGCCTTTCAGTCCACCGCTCTGGCTCGCGAGGAAGCCCAGACTGAGGCCAAGAGCGCTCCCTTCCACAAATCGCCTGATCCGGCCCTAGTAACGAGTCCCCGGCTGGAACGGAGGTTGTTACGCCAGGGAATTGCCCCCGTCGGATCTCGTCGTCGTCGAGCTGCCCTCCAGGCCTCATCCAACATTCCCTTCGAGCAGCTGCCCTTCCAATGTTTCCAGGAGGCCCGCAAGGTTTTGATCGCAGACCGGGAAGAGAAGGTGCGCGATATCCAGTCGATGAGCGAGAAGATTGCCAGGCTTCAGGCCCTTTCCAATGAGGAGGCCGGCGGCTTGCAGGTCAAGAAGTCCAAGCTCCGGGCCATGGAGCTCCATCTGGAACACCTTAAGATCCTTGCGGATGTCAACGACCCGCTGGTTAAGAAGAAGTTCGAGGATGGGCAAGGTGAACAACACATTCTACAAACTGCCTTTAACTCCGCAGCCTAACCAACCTTGTCTAGGTGACCTCAGCAAACCCATCTACCGCTACCTGGCCGATCGGAAATGGAGGGAATACCGTCGCAAGATCCTCGTCCAAAGAATTACGCAAATGAAGGTTATTCCCGACGTCCTTCCTCACTGCGACCCCATCGTCGACACCAAGCTCTACTTCAACCGCAGCCAGGTGCAGCCTGGAGAATACGTCAACGCCAAGGTCAGCACGACAGCACCTAAGCTCGACGTGCAGCTTTTCGAGGGCGGCGAGAAGCTCGTTACCATCGCCGTGGTCGACTCGGATGTTCCCAACGTTGAGACGGATGGCTTCGATTTCAAGATGCACTACCTGGCTGTCAACGTCCCCATCTCGGCCACCAACACCAAGGTCGACCTGGCCCAGCTGTCGGGTGAGTCGCAGGTTGTCCTGCCATGGGAGCCTCCTGTCGCTCAGAAGGGCAGTTCCTACCACCGACTGTCTCTGTTCATCCTTGAACAGAAGGACTCCAAGCCATTGGACTTCGCCGCCGTCAAGGCGAAGGAGACGGAGCGCGAGAACATGCTGCCCCGCACCCTGCAGGCCCGGTACCACCTGAAGCCGATTGGCGCGCACCTGTTCCGCACGCAATGGGACGAGACGACGTATGAGGTGATGAAGCAGATTGGCTTCCCCGAGGCGAACATGGAGCTCCGGAGGAAGCGGGTCGAGCCTCTTCCTTACAAGAGAAGAAACCCGTCCACATTCCGGTAAACCAGCCAGCCTCATTTCCTTTTCTGTTCAACTTTTTGGCTCTAGATTTTGTATTGTACAAGAGAAGATGTATGAATATGCACAAATTCCACCAACTCCAGACTCCCATGCCGTATACCTAAAGGGTATCCATCCGAGACAACATAATATAACATTTATCCCGACAAATCCGCCTCCTCCAACGTATTCTTCACCCACTCAAACTTATGCAACGGCCACACCCGCGCGATAATCTTCCCATTAATAAGCGCCATCGGTATAGGTCCATAATTCCTGGAATCCCTCGACCACGGCAAATTATCCCCAGCAAGATAGACATGACCCTCAGGAACCTACACCAAACACAAACAATTAGCCAATTACCCTCGCCCCCAAACCAACAAAACCACAAAGGAGAATGTATAAAAACTCACTCTAATCATCTCCCCCTCCCCACCAACCTCCCTACTAAACGGCAAATCCCTACACACAAAATCCCCAGGCAACCCAATAACCCTCTTCGCCCCATTAACCCCCAAAAACGTCGGATGATAGAACCGCACCACGTCCCCGACCTGGATTCCGCGACCGTGCTTGTGCACTCGCGATATGAGAAGGTAGTCGCCCCGCGGACTGAAGGTCGGGTACATCGAGGGTCCTTCGCTCAGTTGTACCGTGATCAGGTGTTCCCAGATTAGTGTGCATGCGCAGAATACTCCCAGGCTGTTGAGGCCGAAGCGGAAGATGTGGCCTGGGGTGCTGCGTTTTAGGGTGTAGCGGAGGAAGCGGTCCATTTTGTAGATTATTTTTTGTTTTTGATTTCTTTTTGTGTTATTGGGTTGGTATTGAGGGCATTGCTTTGCGATTGCGATTGAATTGATTGGATTGGATTGGATTGACTAGTTTGGTGTAGTTTGCTTGGTATGACGGCGGAGAGCTTCGGAGGTTTGGTTGGTCATGTGATTAGCCGGTGAGGGGGAGGGTATATAAAGGGTTTTGTGCGGGAGATTTTTTCTCTCTTCCTACAGAAATGTCGTGAGCGACAACACAACGCCAGACTTTCAGTTGATCGATATGGTTGATTGATTGATTATTGCTACATCCATGATGGATGATCTGATTGCTTAATGCAGCTAATTGGATTCAACCCATTGCTATTATTATTACTGTTTTCTTGTTGCGTTATGTCTTCTGCTATTCTGCTATTCTGCTATTCGCTTCTAAAATTGCTAGAGCTCACCGCTGCCGAAATTAAACACCAGAGCGCGTGAGTGTGGACAGTGAAGCAAGATGAATATACATCTCATCATTCGTGGTGGGATTCCCTGAACGATAGCCCGGCTTGGACCCCATTTTGTTATGGGAATGGAAAACTGGGTGGTACCGATGGGACACATCCATCTTTTATATTATCGTAGTTGTTGATAGTTTGAATGCAATTGCAATTACTATTCATACTCATTCATATTCATCATCATACATACCCAACACCATATATCCTAATCCTCCCACATCCCATCCGCACCTACACAACCCATCAATTAGCACACACACACCCCCCAACTTAAAAAGTGGAAAGAGGAAAAGAATAAACTCACCCTCAACCATCACCCCCTCCCCCAACCTCTCCAACCCTTTCCTCTTCTCCCTCTTCTCCCTATAATCCACCCCAAACCTCTCATCCCTCTCTTTCACCAACTCCCCCAATCCCCCGGGACAGGCAATCTTCACCCTCTCCTCACTCGTAAAACTCGCCATCAACTCCGGCGCCCCCATCGGCACCGGATCCCCCCGATCGACCTGCCACAGATGATACGTCTTTCCATACAACGGCACAATATCCTTCATTTCCGCCGTCTCGGCTGCGTCCCACACGACATTCGGAACGCTCGCGGGCGCAGGCATGATCAGCATCCCGCTACTGACTTCGTAGACGTGCGTGTGCCAGAGCTTCTTCTCTTCCGCGGGTAATGTCGCGAAGAGTTTCGGCGTGATCATGTATTCGATGCCGAGGAGGCGCGCGTTCGGCGCGGTGCTGTCGTAGAGGAGGCATTGGCGGAGATCTATATTATGTTATATTAGTTGGGTTAGGTGTGTGGTTTAGTTAGTTGTATGATTGGGTTTTTATTAGGGTGGGATTCATGCGATGCGACTGGGGAATGGGATATACCCTCTGTGATATGGGAACAGTAGTGATTTGCCTCCACGTAGCGCGTCTTGTCGGAGGCGTAGACGTGGAATGCGTTCAGGTGTGCGCAGATGTGCTTCACGGGCGTGAAGTCTTGGATGGCGCTGGCGCAGGCTTCGAGTACTTGGCTTTTGGTCGTTTTGGCGGTGCCGGGGAGGCCGTCGGTTGTTTCGGTGGTCATTTTGTGGATATGGATATGAGAAGCAAAGGTATATTGGGGGACTGGTTGGTTGGTAGTTGGCGTTGAGGTGAAGATGGGGTTTCTATACTACTTTTTTTGTCGAAGCTGCATCTGACGTCACGATGATCGTTTTGGTGCTGGGTTGGATGTATACAAGGAATGTAATTGTTATCTCAATGGCTGAATACGTTTTCTGGGGTTTGTATGGGTAGGTTGGATTTGTGAATCATATTCATTCTTGTGATACTGCTAGTGTACTTGACTATGGTCCATATTTGGCTAAGTTACATATTGTTCTTCATCTCTCTCAGCGCCGCCATAACCTCCACTGGGTCTGTCTTGCCGGTCTTCTTCTGGATCTCGGGGTCCTGTAACATGTTAGCTGGGTCTCTCGTTGAAATGTATTGGGGAGACTCACGTTGACGCGCATGAAAACATTATGGAGCTGTAGCCTGTCAGTCCCGGCCAAACAACATAAGAGGCAGAACAAACCTTCTCATCACCAATCGTGAACTTGCCCTGAGTTTCTTGGTTGGCATTGGCAAACGCCTCCAACTTCTTAATGGGCTCAGACTGCGAAACAGCAAGGCAGAACTTGACGTTGCCCTTGGTGTATTCGTGTCCGGGCTGCAGAGCATCAGTAAGTGCCAACATGAATCACACCGAAACACTCACGTAAACCTTAGTATCATCCGGCAGTGCAGCCAGAGTCTCGTTCAAAGCCTTGTGCATTTCTGGGGCCGTACCCTCGAAAAACCGGCCACATCCTGTAACCTATTAGTTTGGACCCAGTCCGCTCACCCAGTAGCTGAACTCACCTCCGATAAACAAAGTATCACCGGTGAAGACAACCTTGTCGTCTCCATCCTGCATGAAGTAGCATATACTGTCCTGCGTGTGGCAGGGCGTGTGCAGCGCCTTGACGGATATGCGCTCTCCGATCTTGAAGACTTCGCCGTGTGCCGGGGTCTTGGTGACAGACTGGCAGTTCTTGCCGCCAATGACGGAGAGTTGACCGAAGGTTTTCAGCTTTTTCAGTTAGTTTCGAGTGATCTCTTTGTAGAGTGTGTAGCTCACAATTTCATTGTTACCACCGGCGTGGTCCCAGTGACTGGTACAATCAGCATTGGTATAGACCAAAGAAGGAAGAACACTTACTGATGAGTATTCACAATAGACGTAAGCTTAATCTTCCCTGCATCGATCTGAGATTGCAGCGCCGGAGTCACCCTGTGATTTCTTAGCTCAACCTATCTTCGCAACCATTTTGACAAGCCAGCAAGCAAGCACATACTCAGGCGGATTAGCCGGGTCAATAATAACAGACTCCTTAGTAGGTTCATCTGTGACCAGGTAGGCATAGTTATTGCCCTTCCCGGTCCCTGACAGAACAAACTTAGTTAGCAAATAAGATCCCAATAAGTAATGTAAGCAAGTACCTTGGGGGGCACGTCTCAAGGGTTTATTTATTTATTCAAGGAACTACTTACACATCGGGATCGACTGTACATGCATGGCTCTAATTTGTTGCACTTGCGCTCTCACGGGTTGAAACCTCACGGAAGACCAGACAGCTCTGGTAAGGCACATGGATAAGTATAAGGTAACAGCAAAAGTGTTAGTGCTTGAACTTTTTGGAATGAATGCGGGGGTGGTGGTAATATTGATTGCTAAGAAGCTAAGCTAACTAATCTATGCCACCTGCGCCATACTTACTAACTGTGTAAGCAGGTCTTTTGGCGATTACCTCATAGGCTCATTCCGCGGAGGGCTCAGCCACGTGTGGCGGTGACGCTAGGCTGCTTTCGGGCATGACATCTTCCACGTTAATCTTTAGATACTGTAGATGCTACGTGGATGCTACTTGGGGTTTTGTTGGGTGTGAAATTGAGTTGGTTTTCGCTGAGCATCGAGCCGTGGCACAGCATGGTGATATTGGAATCGTATCCGCTGTCTATACTATCCCTAACGGTCGCGTATCCCACGTATCTACTGTCTCCCATCCGAATTTCTTCAACTCTTTCAGATCGTCGGCATCTGCAGTCCGCTTGAGGCCAGACCCGTCCTTCTTTGACTGTTTCTTTGATGTGGACGCCGGCTTCTTAGGTGCCAGATCATCCGTCCTCTGCTGTAGGCTCTCCTTAAGAAGCGCCGTCCAGTGATTGGAACTCTGCTCGCAAACGGCAAGAAGGTAAGCGTGGGACAGTAGTCGTCTCCGAGAACCCCATTCCGGCGATTGAAGTATATGGTCCAGCCACATGTACAATCCTTCGAGCTGAGGGTCACTTTTCAAATTCTTTGAGCCTGAAAAGGCCAGTACATTCACCATCTCCTCCGTCAGGGATGCCAGGGCCGGGGAATGGCCCTCGGCGAGCATCTGTAATAACGAATCCCACTTAGCGAACATTCCCGTCATGGAGTCACCCATCCTGGTGCCAAGTTAGCTTATGAACGTCGTAGCACTTCCAGAATGTAGAAAACTCACTTCCGACCAGCAGGAACCAACAATGAGTCCTCCACGATCACGCCTGCTAGCGCAGACGCCCCACGACTGGAAGACTTGCAAATCGAGATCAAATGCGTGGAAGTAAACGAGACATTCTGCTGGAACCGCCTCTTCTTGCGCGGCGGTTCTGAAGACTCCTCTTCAGCCAGTAAGTGCTCGAATTCAGTTCTCAAAGCCGCCTTGATGGGCTCGACGTCATCTTCAGCGCCGTCAAACGCCTCAGGTTCCGACGCAGGCACCGTATCAGCACTCAGGTCAGTCTTGGCCCAGTAGTAGTCCCACAACCACTCAAGGGACCGCTGCGTGGCATTGCGCAGGACTGTGAGGGAAGGCAGTTCACGATGCGTCGCCTCGTGACGCAGTTCCACAAATGAGGCCGGTAGGCCCAGATCAATGGCTCGTTGGAACATGGTCTTACGCTGACCGTTCAGCTTGGAGTCGACGAGCCCCGTCACGAATCTATTTGGCGTCAGTAATGGTTACCCTTCCCACAGAAATAGAGGAACAATTTGTTCCATGAGCAAAGTGGATGGTCATACCGACAAAACGCAGCCGAGTACGTAGCCCGAATAGAGAAGATGGAATTTTTCAAGGCATCATCATGGAGAATGGCGTCCGTTAGCAAGGCCGTGGCTTCAACAGGATGTGGCAGATTTCCCCGTAGCTTCCAAGCTGCAACCTATCATAACTGTTAGATCTAATAGACTTATTCATATATTTCAGGGCGGATTTTCGCATACAGTGGCGCAGGCCTTGGAGCGCATGTCGGGCCCATCATAGAAGGGTGCAGGGTAGAATTGACTCCGCACCGTGAGTAATTGCGAGTGCTCCTTCCATGGTGTGAAAATGACCTTTGCCATTTTGTTACTGATTGATTTAGCCGTTTCAAATGCGATGATGATTCACCCTCACCCTGCACTGGCCGGGGGCAGACTGTACATCTTCGTCGACAGTGATTTTGTTCGCCCGGAATAAGGTTGTTCCCGCCGCTGCGACTCCTTATCGGTTCGGCTGCGTTGATTCGTTCATGAAACTACTATGTACTAAGTAGGTAAACTACAAAGTAGATTACCACTAGGTTCTCTCTATTCTGTTGCTTACGTATTATTGATGCTTGATGCAATGTGTTTATCAAAGATATTCTCGTAATTGTTACATTCACTGGTGTCTAATACATGCATTTCAAGTTCGACCAATCCTCCCTGGGTATCCTGTACTGTATGCTAAATTGAAAACGCCTCCGAAACAATAACTCCACGCTATGCAATGCTGTAGCCCGAAAACCGAAAAGAGCAATAATCAAGGGCGGTAAACGCGACAGTGTCGGAATCAAATCCATCCATAACCATAATTCATACAGGGTTGGCTAGCCATGTTAATAAATGGCTGGGAATCGACCACGGCATGCTGCTCGAGGTCGTCGTCATCAAAGAAAAAGGATCTTTGCATCATGTTGGTAGGTGCTTTGATCGGTTGTTGAAAAGTCTCAGCCTCAGGCTGCTTAGGGTTCGAATCAGTGCCCTTGTTGTTGACGGGGCTCTCATCCTGATTTCGTTCGTCATCATCGTCCTCATCCTCCTGGTCATCTTCATCGTCCTGGTCTTCGGCTTCATTGTCGGAAGACGGGGTGAAAGTCTCCTCCAACTTCAGCCCCTTGCCGGAAAGCCCTAAGAGCGAGTTTCCCAGCGAAGCTTCCGGGTTGCTGTAGAGACCCATTCCGACGAGTTCATCCTCGTTCTGCTTCTCGGGCAAGGACTCTACCTGCGAATGCAGGTCGTCATCAGGTCGCTGAATAGGTAGAAAGTCAGGCGTAGGAGGGCCAGTCAAGCAACCCGACGACGGTACACTCTCATAACTCGAACCTGCGACGTAGACTGGAGGGATGTTGTTGTGCATGGATGACATGTCGAAAGAGTAGCAGTCAGACATAGGTTCTGCCATTGCCGACAAGGTTGAAGCGCTGGTGTCCCAGGAGACGGGCTCAATTTGAGACTCGCTCATCGGCAGCATGGTAGATTGTTGGAGCGACATCTGATGCTGTGCATCAGGCAGGGAAGGGAATCCCATATCGGAGCATGGAATATCTGTTGAGGTGTAGGATGACATCATGGAAGAGTTGTCGAAGGTTGCAGAGGCAGTAGGCAGTGGCTGAGGGCACACGCCAATGGCGGCAAAGTTGTCCAACGCCGTAGTTGCTGGCACATACTGAGTAGTAGGATAGCTAACAGGCTCCAAAGCCGGATGCCAACTTGTCGGACGGTTCTGGCCAGTTCGGGCAAGTGCAGAGGCTACAAAGGCAGTGTTGACGGGAGCCTGGTAGCCTTGGTACATGGGCGAACTGTAAGGGATGGTTGCTGTGCGCCGTCTGCCAGCAGACGAAGGACTGTTCCCAGCGCTGCGGGGTTTCATCACTCGACCCGTCCGCTTGGGTTTAGGGAAAGCATGGATCAAGTCACGAAATGTCGAAGAGCGCCAGCATGACTGGTTGCCCTGAACCCAGCTAGGGTTCGCAAAGGACGATTGGGGTTGCCAGTAGTCGGCCATTGAGAAGATGGTGAGATGTTGAGAGGGAGAGAGAGAGGGATGGAAGACTTGGGTATGAAAGATAGGACTGAGAGGAGGTGGATGGTCAATTGAAAGTGTGAGGAGGGAGGTATGTGATATAAGCATACATAATAGTAGTAGGTGAGAGGCTAGAAGGATAAGACGGGATGGTGGGATAGGGCGGTGGTTAGATTATATGGAGTATCAAGCACGGATAGGATCCGTGGATGATGACTGCAGGAATATGTAAAGGATCTCCGAAGACTGGGGTTCGAGACTTATCATCTAAAGATGACACAGGGGGCGTGAGGGTCACAAGGCGTGGAGGCAAGGTACAGTTAAGTGCGTGCGGTACTAAGTAGCAAGCCCAGTGCCTAGTCGAGTAATGGACCCAGATGGTTCGGATAAGTAGTAGATTATGCGGTAAAGAGTAAAGTAGGAGCGAATCTAAAAAAGTAAAAAAAGGCAAAAAAGGGGAAATGGAATAAAAAAATAATATTAATAAATTAATAGTAGATGGGGAAAAAAAAATAAAATAAGAAAAAGGAAGGCCCTACATGAGGGTGATACACGGAGATGTGGGACGCATGTACATGGGCATTTCTTGATCTACCATCCGCCCCAGTTCCACGATCCATTACTGTAAGTAAGAAGACTAATGGGTTAGTGGGAGCGGGCACATGTTGGGATGACACGACGTTGACACTAACGAAAGCAGACTAGTTGGTGGGAACCGAACAGGGCAAGACATGGGACGAGAGGAGTAGAAGGGGGGGCTCAGACTACTAGGACTGAGTCTAGTCTAGGTACCAGGAAGGGGAGGAAATGGCAAGGAAGGAAGGGGACCCAAGGAAGGATGGTTGATGATGATGAAGATGATTCAGATGAGCCCATGCCACACGAATGCTGTCTCCACTCCGAAAGGACTCTCTGGGACCTGCGAAGCGGGCAATCAATCCTGGCTCTGACTCTGTGCTGGCAAAAATGACTTCTGGACTGCCCTGGGCCCATGGAATTGGGGCTGGTTTAGTGGCTAACGGCGGGTGACGATGGGGGAATGGATAATAATGTCGATGGTGGGGATGATCAGACCCATTGGCAAAAGAATTTGATGGACTTGCAGTGTCCACCGGGAGGGGGGGAGAAATATGGAACAGAGGGTCAAGAGAAAAACGAGGGAGATGCGGCAGAGCGGCAATTGATTGGATGGGAAACTGAAATCGGAGCTCCAGTCCAGGGAAAGGCAGCAAAGATCATGGATGGAACTTAAAGAAGGAACCAGAAAATGGCCGGGCCCTCTTCATGCCCCCCCCCCTCAGCTCCCTCTCTTCCAAGCCGAATTGAGTAGGGAGTGACCGAGTGATTGACTTGGATTGAAGTGACTGACTTGACTTTTGACTTGCCTGGGACATGCCGAAACTAAACTAAAAGTAAACTAAACTAAACTTTCCACTAGATACGACGCACAGTAGTAAGGCCCGTGTGAGAGCCCCATGGGAAGTCTGGGGCTAAACTGGGAACTTTTTGGGAGTTACTGCGTCTTCCTGCATCCTTTTCTGCTGCTTCTTACCATACCATACCAGCCAAGGTGCCGCCCGTTGCCTGCATTCTGATTGACTTCCCTGTCCTCCCTGTCGGATAGATACTACGAAGTACGTGCTATTTCGGTAATAATGCAGTGAGGTGGTTATAGTCATTAGTTAGTGCTCGGTGTCTTTCTACTTAGTTAACATGCGACAGACAGGTACGGTGATCAGTTACATTCATGACCGAGGTGCGACTTTGCGCTTACTTGGTAACTAGTCAAGTCGGTCTGCTGAGACTAACTACTACATGTAGTACCAACCCACTGTATGATTGTATGATACTTCACAGAGCGCCGCCCCATCAAAAGCAAGAAAAGGTAGCACTAAACTACTGCCGGTGTGTTTAGATTAATTCCCCCCCTCTCTCACCTTCTCGATGACGCAGCCGTGCCATGGCCCTTTGTACGGTGCCTGGGAGAATTTTGCGATCTATTAGTCACGCTGTACCAGGGGTAACTATGTATCTCTCTGATAGGTAGGTAATTTATGTAGTACTAGTACTAAGTAAAGTACTTAGGCAATGAAGAGAGAGTGTGTGTGTGCAACCACTCTCCTTGAGTCACTTCTAGCCCAGGCTGTTGCTGCTGCCCCCTCCATACATACATACATACATACATGCATGGGTAAAGGATGGATGGGTGGATGGATGGATGGGTGGATGGATGGATGGATGGCCGGACCCAAATCGTGATACACTTCGCAACTCTCCTCGGCCGTCTTAGTCATGATGGGAATGCCCGCGGTGAAGCGGTAATATTGGCCTGGCAAATGACCCACGATCCGACCCGATCGTCAACCCTGCGGCCAAACACTCTCCCAACTCTCTTTCCGTTCCATTCCATCTTAACTGTTTCTGTTTCTGTTTCTAACTAGTAGAGGATGATTCTTCCTTATCCGTATTACATAGTCTCCTACTACTCTGTAACTAGGCACACATTTGCCCCCCCTCTCGTCTTCTCCTCTTTCCCTCCCCACCCACTCCCTCCTTCGTCTCCTCCCTCGTTAAGTAACCCCTTCAAGCCCAGTCTTGTCCCCACAAGTTCACCGTTTCCAACGCGTCACAACGCCCGTTACGCAAGGGTTACAATAATGCGGAAAATTTCCAAGGGCAGAGTTGCTTCCCCTGTCCGGAGTACGTATCGACATCGGATGCAGGTCTGGCCCAGTTCTCTACCCGGCAACCTCAAGCAAGCTAGGCACATAACTTACACCATCCATCCCACCCATCCACATAGCAAGCAAGCAACACTCTAATTTGGTAGTCGTCGTATCGCATCCTCTTCCAGCCTGGCGATAGATCGAGACAAGGGCAGGAAGGAGCATGCGGATGGTCGAACAAGCTGCCTTCCGTCTCATTCCTTGTCATCGTCATCCTCGTCCTTCGGCATCCCCGGGCGCACATCCCATCATCCCGCCGACCATCCTTTCTAAATACTGATTCCTTGGGTGCTTGTGCTTCTATTGCTGTCCAACCGCGCCAGGGTGGGAGGCATCACCGTTATCACACATACTTGCAACCACTGATAGATTACTAGCCCAGAACTAATTTGGACTACCCACCAGGCCTGACTCGGTGAACCACTTGTCTCGTGAAGCGCTGAGCTGATGATCATTGATTGCTCTGGGCAACTCATTGGCCAGACAGGTGTGCTACTCCATACTTCATGCGTGCACAAGAGGCCAAGATTGCCTCGTTACCTTGGCACCAGCACAGGTTATACTATCACCACTTTCCCAACCATAGTACAATGATCAAGTAACTGTACCTATGTTCCGAATCCCGATCGTTATTCTTGCTTATCAATTTCCTGTTGCCGGTCAATCTATTTCGTTGTGGATCACATGTTTCATAGCCATAATACGTGTGACGAGCCGGATTAGATCAGCTGGCTGAGTGGCTAAACGGTGAAAGCCTACTTGCCGTACGGACCACCTCTCGGTGTAGGGGGGAGGAGGGGATTAGGGAAAACGGAAACTTCGGCTAGAAATGACAACACTTGGACTGGGTTCAGGGATCGGAGAGGGGGGGGGCGTTATACGGAGAGTACGGAGCACTCAGAAACAGAATTTGCTCAAGGCCGGAGAAAGAGTGGGGTGTGCACTTCTACTTTTGCTACTACAACACGCAAGTCGCAAGAGGCAGTGAGAGAGACAAGGGAGAGGGAAACACCGCTCGGTATCAAGAGACTCCACAGGTCAGGCTGGCTGTCTAGCTTATCCGGGATGGAAGTGGGCTGGTGCCAATAAATGCATTTTTGACGAGTCCAGCTGCACCAGAAAGAGAGGTACAGCAGATGGGTTCCGCCTAGAGCGCTAATGCCCCCCATCATATGTAATCGACAAAGGATGCCGGGGCGGAGGATTATTCCATTGACATGGGGACCATTTCCAGAACCAGGGTTACTACCGGAGCAAGACCGACTAAAAGCAGAGCCCTACCCACTCCGGTTAGTCCCCGTGGCGCCCCTCGAGAAGCCTAAGTAAGTACCTGAAGGCTGAGCCCGAGTCACTTTTAGTGCGCCTTTGGGTCAGAGTTACATGCGCCCCTCCTCCTTCTGGTCTGCTCGGCCGTCTTGAAGTTGGTCCTAAGGAAAAAAAAAAAAAAAAAGAAAAAAAAAAAAAGCGAATGTGCCTAAACCTGCATAGGGCCAGAGAAGGGGGCGCAAGAGCAGAGAATAACAATAAAAAGAAAAAGTAAGAAAGAGGCCAAGAAGGGACCCTATCTAGATGAGGTAAGTAACTCCTGTATGGATGTATCCAACTAAACTAACGTTCTCCCCGTGAGAGCAATAATGTGGCCACCGTGCTCCGGCCACCGGGGCTCACTTTACATATACGACAGCCTGGCGATCGGGATTTGTGGCACTGCATCCGCCACGCCCGTTCTAGTCCATCTGACTGACGCCGGTACGTAAATGAAGTTTGCTAACGAGGCACTTATTCGAGGAGAACTGGCAAAAGCATCCGCAACAATAAGAAACAAAATAAAATAGAAATTAAACGGACAAAAAACGAATGCTTGTCCCGGTTCAAAACCCGGCTGTTCGGGGAGGCGGATAGCCTTCCATTGTACTAGAACCGCGCCAGATGCGTGGCAGGCCAGATCGAAAGGGTAACGAACTCGAGAAAACCTCCGTGCGACGCCTTAAGCGGGTACAATCACCACTAATCAAGATACATCATCGAAAAAGCGACTAATCAGATGGTTGAGATCATCGTCTGGACGCCCTACAAATCAGAAGCCGGAGATTACAGGAGGGGAAGCATCGGAATGCATGTGCAGGCCCACCTGACGGCAGGGGACTGGGAAACTGAAAACCGTGAGATGGGAGGGCCAGTCGAGCAGAATTCCAGAAGGCTTGGGGGCCAAATCAGCCCTCGATTGGGTTATGCAATGGATGGAAACGGGAGACAAAATGGAAAGGGAAGGGGCAGGAAACAGAAAAAAAAAAAAAAGAAAGAAAAAATTCTCAATCAATAAATATATCGAAATAGGAAGGGGAAGGAGAGGGAAAAAAAAGGAGGAAAAAGTAATAAAAAAAAAAAAGATGTTCTCAGACCAAGTGGGTCAAACTCCCATATCTCCGTTTCTACGGGAATACGGAGTCAAACTGGCTGAACAGGGATCCTACCAAGAAGCAGGAAGGTCAGGTAAGCTACCAGTTAGCTTTGTATGGTACTACGGTAACCACTCAGCCTAGCTCTAGTCTACTACTCAGTAGCTTGCGAGGTCCAGGATCTATTCGTTACCTGCCGGTCGTCTGCTCTAAGTGGTGCTCTACACGCCGTCCAGTCAGCCGAGGCTCGCAAACGGCGCTTTTCAACAGCCAATAAAACCCCGTCGTTACTGATCTGATAGGTTACAACCAACGACGCTTTAAGCCTTTAACAGTACGTACTACTATACTATTCTATACTATACTGGCTGGGAATGGATCACTCGTTTGGAGTACGCTGGATTACCTCGCCAGGGGTGGTGATGATCCCTCACGGGGGTACGCCGTAAGGACTACACAACACCGAGCGCCTAACTTACTGTACATTCTGCGTGCGTGATATGCTCAACGCCTTGACTTTCGGACTTGTCCACCTCCTGCTCCTAGTATACAAGGGTGCAGGGATGAACATCAGCCACCATTCCACTCAGGCAGACTACCTCAGGGGGTGATTGTCAACATTCGGATAGACTCGACAGCTCGTGCCCGCTGCTGCCACCGAGATGGTATCTAACAGGTAGCAAGGTTCGGCTAACATGTCATTAGCTAATAATTGAGCGAAAGGCTAAAAGATCACGAAGCGATGCGCCCTCCCGGCGGGACCCGCGCATCCCTGGGATATCAGAAAGTTAGAACTCAATATAAGGTCTCTCAATTCACACGCTATCATTATTACGCCACGGATCAATTACGAAAGGGCGTTAGGATAGATACTACTATATGAGCCAAGGGCTTCGGCTCGTGATATCAGGATTAAGTGTAAGACCTTTTAGCAGGATACAAGACCCCCCCAACGCGCTGGTCTAACCCGACCTAAGCCACTTGCAAGGTTTAAGTTGGCTGCTTTATGGGTATTCATCTACTATGGAGTAGACTAGCTGGACTTCGTTAATTGTGGTGTTTCTTGGCCCCTTGCCTTTACTGCAGTGTAAGTGATGGGCCAAGAGAAAGCAAAAAGCAACGTCTACAATATAGTGAAAACGACGGATGACTGCGGAGAAAGTGATGGTTTGGGCTAAAACGTGATTAGTATGGGACGAACTTGGACGAGATAGTAATAATAATAATACACAAAATTAATGATGGACAATGGGGCCCATCCGTCAGGGGCCATGGTCGCGCCTGCATAGCACCCTAGCTTCCCCATCAGAATTCAGACGCCTAGCTGAATGTATGCCGCTCGATCCAGCAACCAAGTAAGCGAAATGGCGGTCGCCGTCCGAGACAGGCCCAAAGTAAGCAGCAATTTGTTAGTCTCGTTAGTCGCACTCCGTAGTTGGCTTCGGAGAAAGTCAACTCAGAACGGAGTAGCGATCATCCAACTACTTGATTAGTTCCAAGCCAGTGATCAACTCGCAACGCGCCTTCAAATCTTAGCTTTCTTTTTCCGAAGCCACTCCTCGCTAGCATGTCAGAATTCGTCTCACTCTCTCGGCTGTTTCTTTTATTGCTCTCGCCGCCTTCCCTCACTACTAATCATTCTAACTAACTATGGAGTACGGCCTGAGGATTAACGTGTCATCAGACCATGGTTAGGCCCGAGCGTCAAAACTGGCCTTTCTCAACAATGAAAAACATTGGACGCTAATTTAAATTTGGCTTACTTTAGTGGGCATGTCATTGATTCACCTGCCCCTAGATAACTAAATTTGTGTTATGCCGCCGTAAGAAAGGAAAAGCCGGCTCTCTCTCTCTCTCTCTCTCTTTCCAGCTTGGTTACTAGCATCTTCTAGCATAGCAGCAATGCCCGGCTATCATTGGCTGCCGACGAAAGTGCTTACATGCGCTGCTGTGCTATCAGGGGCTCCAAGCCTCCTTCATACAATCGTCATCTAGCCATGCTTCCTGATGCGATCTCACCCCAACAGTAACTAGCACCTTACTTCGCCCGCTTTGCAACTGGAGCTGGAGCTGGAGCTGGAGCACCAGGCTGCAACCGACCGTGAAATCAAGCCATCGGCGCAGGGTGGATGTGACACGGCATTCCACTGATACCGCCATCACCTGGCCCGTGTGATTTGTCCTGATTGTCCATGGCTGACCACATAACCCACCCTGGCACAGTTGTTGATACGGGTCTCGCAAAGCTTTTTCTCCTCCGCGGGCATCAATCATCGTCAACGATTAAGTTACTAGCAGACGGTGATTGACCGCGTGCCCTCACCGACGCCACTATTGTGTCTGAGCTCGCAAGCAGATCGCGCGGCAGAGTCGGAACCCTCCTACAATGGTTACGTAGGTAGGGAGGAGCCTGGACGAGAAGGCCCAAAACCACCACCCAAGTGGGTCATATGTAAGCTGCATCTGCCATTTGACGACCGGAAAGGACACGCAAGTTGCGACATAATACGGAGCAGTCCGAGACCTAAGCAGTCGAGGCGGAGTACGTAGGATGTATGAGCCTTGATGTTTGAGAGGTTTATCGAGTCGAGCCGTTTTCCAGGCTGGTTTTAATCCTGCAATTACCATTCCGCGGACCGTCAGCCGCGAGTCTCCTCTTGTCCTCACTAATCTATCTACAACTAATCAAGGCTCCTACGGGAGGCATCTGCAGGTGGCCATGAGTCAAAATGGCGTACATACATATACCGCCAGTAGGTCCATGCATGCATGCATGGGAACCAAAATAGGGCGCTGTCCATCCGGCCAATGACGAGACATATTCGGGCTCAATCTTTCGTCTCCAAATGCAGCAGACGACAATAGTAGGAGTGAAATGGTGGAGTATGGCTGGGCAGCGGCGAGTTACACAACAAACCAGATCTCATCATAATACACGGAGGAGCATGCATGATCTGCTGTAGGCAGACGTGCTGGCAATGCCGATGCGAGGTAGGCACCTCCTGTACGGAGTACGTAGGTATCTTCAGCTGCCACCACATATTTCGGCAGATACTGCAGCATTCTGGATTCTTGCATTGTTCAGATCTAAAGGGAGGGGGGAGGTATCACACAGAATGTGGCCTGTGCTTAGGTTTGTCCTACGTGTCAACCAACCAGTAAGGAAGAGGCATGAAATCTGGATGTAGTATAAAGTGGACTGGGGTCTGGAACGCTATGATTACTACACACTAACAGCAGGTATGGATTCAATGCCTCATGCCACCGGCATTGGTTGAAGTTCGTCGTCAGCCTGACAGTTACATTCTACCCCGAGCATAGGAGGAGGAGGAGGAGGAGCAGCAGCAGCAGCAGCAGTAGTACTACATAGTTTTAGTGTATGAAAGTGGGCAAATGACGAGGAGGGGGGGGGTGGGAGAGCCCGATGCTTACCATACCATACCGCCCGAATCAGGTATAGCCGTCAGGCCACCATTGCAAGGCCAAATGTGACGGTGTCAGGCATGCATTTTGATTGCAGGCAGGGAATTGGGATGGATTCTGCAAAAGAGGCGGACTTGCATCTCGCAGAACGAAAGGCAATGGAACCACATGACCATCCTTGCACCAATGAACCTGAGAAACTGATAGCGCTGCGCTCATCACATACATCGCCTGCCTTAGGTGCAAATTATCTAGTAGCGAGGCTTTCCGGCGGCTGCTTCAGCCTATGACGCTACAAGAGGGGCTTGTACCTAATAGTACTGTGCGCCGGACCAGCATCACCTTCCATCATTGTTGCCCCTCGAAAGGGTCTCCGCAGATGCAAAAGACCCGATACCAGATGTGGTCTAGGGATACGAAGGCGCCTTGGGTCGTTTCACTACCCCTGGCAATCAGATCCAGGCAGCGATGCACTTTCTCTCCTCCACCTCCAACCATCCTCTCGCGGTGTGCTATTTCCTAAAAACACTGACCAGTTCCCCATTCCAAAGCGAAGCGAAGCAAAGCGAAGCAAAGAACTACTGCTAAAACTACAACCGATACTCCATACCAACTTAAGAGTAAGAGAAGAGGGGCCGACCAGCAAAAGATAACCCGGTTGACAGACTCACTATTAGAAGATCGACGGTAAATCGCACCAAGCCCGACTGCACCGTGACCCAGTTGCGGTCAATGATAGTCAGCGGTCCACTGATGGGGGATTTACTAGAACTGGCAAACCAGTCAGCGCGCGAGACGAACGACCTTTCTCCGTTCGTTAAGTTCCCAGGATTTTCCCAATATTAGGGATTAATCATCGACGGTGGCTGAGATTCCCGACTTGTTGCTGGTTTGCTGCTGCACTTGTCACGGACTCACGGCA